TAATTACTACACAGTGGTAATTAGCACCCATACCAGTGGTGGGGTTGTACAGGAACCCTCAGCTGTCTTTCCCACAGCATGATCCTATCTTTGGTGTAAAGAACTGGGTCATCATATAGTCAGGGGTGTCACAAGAAAGTGCCATGCTGGGGATAAAAGAAAATTAATGGGAAAGTTAAGCTCTCCTAACCTCCCTTTGATCTATTTTCCTTTTCTTCTCTGAATGTTCCCTATCTTAGCCACCATAACATCAGGAAACAAATGTTAAAGGTGTTTAGATGTCTAAATGCAAGCATAGGTGCTGAAGAAACATTAAAAGTGCTTATGTATCTAAAAGCCACTGATTTCACTGATTTCTCATCAACTAAAAATTATCTGCATAGACAGTTTTGGAATCCAAATAGATAAATTAATGTGCAGTTTTCAGCTCCTACAGTCAACTGTAGTTTGGTCTTGCAGTCAATAATGGAAAAAAGTGTCCTGAAGAGACCCAGAAGCTGGAAGCATACTTAGTACAGCCAGAGCCCTGCACCTCACTGAAAGACCTGTGCCCTGAACATCCTCTTTGCCTTTGCAATACATCCCTTGTGTGCACAGACACATCCAGCAAAAAAAAAACCTCTCAAGGAGCAGAGCAGATGTGCCTGGACTTTTCTGATTAATTGGCTAAACGGGAGCACCTGTAGAAAATGGCATTTCAATGGAATGTCATAGGAGGGACACATAAATGAGAATTCATACATACAACAACCACAGACTAATCTGATAAAACATCAAATACTCACAGAGAAAGGAAGACTGGTAGAGCAAGCTTACTACTGTAGTGTCCAAGTCCCATCTTGGGCCACAAAGTACAAAATTCTGATAACTTGGACAAACATTGCAGAAGTTTTCATTCCTACACTCAAAGTCCATTTTTAAAAACAGACTAGTTTTTGCAGGAACCTAATCCAAAACATTATTTGTCCAAGCATAAAAACTGTTCTCACATCCAACTAAATGTTTTAAAGCCACTATTCAGTCCAAGGATTAGCTGAATTATGGCCATCCAGCTAACCTGTCTACCAGGGTCTGTCCCAGCTTCTAATTAATCTTTTGATCACAGTAAGGACCTTAAGATTCATTTCTATGCAATGCAGTAATAGTTACCATATTGAATCTCACTCTGCAGGAAATAGACCTTTACCAAATATAAAAACTATATTCAAAGGACAGAATGTATTTTAAAGAAATAATTCTCTAAAACAGTAATGCTTCAAAAATTACAATTTAAGTTTACCCTCGTGCTTTTACAATTACATGATTCAAGATTGGCAAGAGAATACTTAAATCAACCAAGCAGTCCAAGTAAATATAGGGCTTTTCTGAGATTTTGTTATTCCTATCAGCTTTTGTAGTAATCATGGACTTGAACAGCATTGTGCTGTGCACTGTTGAAGTGAAATGGTGTCTGGTATCTGTAACAGCAAAAGGACTGAGTCAGGATGGAAACAGCCTATCTGAAAGTCAAGGAGTACCAAAGAAGGAAAATGGGGACAAGTGGGAGGAGGCAGGAGAATACAGAATGGGCTTACTTAATATGAACCTCCATGAAGGTCAGATACACAGGTTCTTTTTAGTCCTCTTCTAAATTAGAAGACAACTGCTGAGCTATCAAACACATAGTAATAATGATCTTGAAAATCTCTGCTGACCTAATTACTTTCACTTGGATGTACTGAGTGTTTCTCATTAGCAAACAATTTGATGATGTTAAATTTACATCTCAAGCAACTACTAGCACCAGTTCAGCTCACAAACGGAATGTGAACATAACTTTATTTTCCTTATCAGTGTCACAGAATTGGTGAACTATAAAAAAAAAAAGATCTGTGAAAAAGAAGTAAGAGAATAAGAATAGTTATTAATAATAGTTGTAGGTCAGATGTTAAGTATTTCTCAGCAGTTTCAGAGATTTCATAAACTAGGCATTAGTTGTTTTGTTTGGTTTTTTTTTTTTTTTAATAACACCTTTATTTCAGTAAAGGACTTCCAACATATTGCTGGGGTACAGGATATTGACTGAGGAATTGTAGAAAAACTCAACTTCAGCTGGTCTTGGAATAAAAGTTCCCTAAGTAGATTCAAACAGCTAAGTGGATTACAGAAGATGGAGGGACATTCTCTCCATTCCACATAAACATGAAATTCTGTAACTGATTTTCCACTGTCTTTCATGCATTCTCATAAAAATGGTAATCCTATCAATGACTATTTCATAGCTGAGGTAGTATTTGTAAAAGCCCCAAATCAAGAACCATGAAAGACAGAAGGTCTCATAATGCTCAAATCAGTGTCAAGGAGGGCAATTTTGCACCTGAATTTATTGCATCACTTCTGACACTGTGGAAAAGCTGGTCAGAGTTTCATATATATGAATGAAGTCTGCAATAAAAGCAAGTGTTCAGCTTCTTGACTTTGTACGATAGATAATGGTTATCCTTCCTGAAATCCAGTAAAAATGTACTAATATATCTTTTGATTCATTCAAATAAATAATTCAGAAATTAATTCTTTTAAAGCACACATCACTATCCGATTTGTCACCCCAAAATATTCTATGTACTCAAACTTCAAGAAGAATTTACTATAAGAAATTAAGAGGTGGCTGAGTAAAGGTACTACTCATTTTTTAATTTACTGTCCTGCTTAGATGCATACCAAGTTAGGTCAACAACTCTGTTTGCAAGTGGGACCATACCCAACAAAGTGGTCTCTTCTGTTTCACATTATTATTGGAGCATTATTATCTCAATGCATCAGGAATAAGAGAAGTTGAAAATGTATCAAGAGTTCTCATCAATGGATGCTTTGGCTGTGCCTTGAAAGTGTCACTTCCAACCTCTGCTTTCATTCCCACTTGTCCCCATCCTCTTCTCCAACTGCTTTTTCCTTTGCTGTTGCTCCCATTTGCTTTGGCTGCTGTAGTGACGGAGAGATCATATGATGGTCATCAGATGGTCATTTCACAAGCAAGCAATGCATTCCTTTTATATGGAGAAAGAATGGTTTAAGGATTGTGTCTTGAATGACTTATTTTATTATTGATTAAGAGGTACTGCACACAGGATTTCTTCCACTTGAAGAGTTTCAGTATTATTGCACTTGAGTACGTTTCCAGGGAATATTCAATTTCACGTTTTGTTCTTCTTTGGAGCAATTATCCAAATGTTAATATCTTTTGCTGCTGTAGTTACTTTCTACTTTATTAGATTATCCTGGCCAAACACCTACACAGGCTAGCAAACAGCAGAACAAGAATGAAGCATCTGCTTTTCTGTTTTTCCTCTTCACATTATGTCAGTTAATTCCTGAAGCTGTTTGTGCCTCACTTAAGAAATGGGTAGTGTTCACCAGAAAGCAAACAAATCAATTACTGAACGTTCTGAACAGACATTAGAGGGCTGGAAAAAAAAACACCAAAATTTTCCTGTTCTTGTGACTGCGCAGAGATCTTCACGGTAATTTCTGTTGAATGATAACTTTTTCATGGTAACTTCTCACAAAATTAGGCCTTGAAGCTTAGCAGCTGATCAGAGCTGTGAGTCACAACCCCGTAAGAGAAATGTACCTCATTAAAGCCACAGCATGAATGGAGGACCTAACACATGAGGTAAGCAAGGGAACACCAGAGCACAGAGTCAAGAAGAATTCATTTTAAGGATTTTCATGGGAGGCTAAATTGGTCCTATTCATAGAAAAAAACAGCACAAAAAGTCTTGCCTTGCCCAACTGATACAGTCTCTTTCTAACACTAGCTGACTTCATCTAGGCCAAATATTGGCATGACCAAAGGGCTCCTTAACACTGATTTGTAACATAAGCCTTGTCACATAAACACTGAGGAGGAACTTTTCCCCCAAACAGGAAGTGCTAATACAAGAAGGTGGAAAACAGACTAAATAAATACATTTGTCATTGACATAGAAGTGCACTGACAGAGATGTCACCAATAAAATGAAATATAACATACTCACTGAATGCAGCTAGCTTTAAAATCACTTTTGTTATAGTAGAACTTAGATTAAAGCACAATCTAGAAACTCCATTGCTTTAATAACAAAATAGAGAAGTACTTTTGCAAGATCCATGAAGAAAATCTTCCAAAGACAGGAGTGGACCAACAGGTGAAGGAATTGCAAAAAGGGACACTCATTATCTTCTTTCCCCTCCTCCATTGTCCTTAACCTTTTTTTTAACTCATGTTCTCTGCTGCTTTTAAAAACTGCCTTATCTTTCTAGTGAAATGATAGTTTAAGAGTGAATGGATGTGATTTTACCACAGTCCTTTACATCTTCAGCTCGTGTGCCATGTAAGCACACTCAAACAGGTGTTTTTCACAGATACGGTGAGATGCAAGAGTAGTGTATGTACCCATCTTCATTATTTTACTTCATAACTAACAGATTATTTTGTACAGCAGAAAGTCTGTCCTTATATGCAGAATATTTAATGAAATATTTACTGAAATACACAGCTTCATAATTTTTACAAGTATGTACTCTGTAACCCATAGCTGATGCTGCTGCAGGTATCCAAATATTTATGTATTCCCATTAGCATGGTGGGGTGCAAGGAGAAAGATGCTAAGCTTCGAGGAAAACAGCACTATTTTGCAAATCCTATTCTGTAGAAATTAGGTAACTATGGTCTGTAAAATCAGATCATAATGTTCAGCAATTCTCATACTCTATTTGTGATCAAGCAGACATTCTCTTTTCTCTACGCATTAGCACAAGCAGCTCGAGGCAACTATATCTAAAGCTTTCAGGGGAAAACAATTTTGGAGAAAGTAACTTAACAGTGCAGAAATCTGAAAAGTCGGAACCATGAATCTTGGATCTTATTCAATTATGCACCAAAAAAACAACCACCATACAACACGTTTCAGTTTAAAGATGTGTCACAGAAACTGAACTGAAAAGCAGATCTTTGTAAACTAAGCTGAGTTATTACTCACCGTAGTTTCTGGTTATACTGCTTGACTTTTTCTAGTGAGGCTGCATTAATTTGAGCTTGAAATTCTTCTACTGAGACATTGTCTCTGTAATAGTATCCTTCCATGCTCTCCAGTGCTGTGAAAAGAGAAAGGGGAAAGGAAAAGAGAAAGACCAGTATTAAATATTTAGTAACTGCCTTCTTTGTAGTTTTGTTCACACACAAGTGAATTACTTTTTAACCTTGAGGCTTTGACCTTACTGTGGATGGCTGAGCTGTTTCCATATGTCATCAAATTCATACAGATCTCCCTTAGAGATTTCATTTACAAGAAAAATTGTATTTCTTGCCCTGTGCAAAATATAAAGGAGAGTGCTAATTTGAGTTCCTTTGCTCTAATTAAAGTATTCCTGCCCTGTGAATGTAAATGTGGGGCTTAGTTTTGATATATTACAGAATAAAATAGTAGAATGTGGTGGAGCAGTGAAAATAAAGGATTAATGCAGCAATTACTTTCACAGAGGGAGACCTAACAGCTTCTCACAAAGTCCAATTTTGGGAGATATGGAGCACCTGAACCTCTAGTTGTTCCCTCTGATTATGTGAATACCACCTTCCTCTAGATCAAGTAAAGCAAACTTTGTATTTCTGAAAATGCCCAAGAAGTTCCTTTTCAAGGCTCAGGTAAGTGAAGTCAAATACTTGTTCGTGTCCACCTTTGCTGTATTCACTTTACCAAAGCAAGAATGAATATTGCTACAAGAACTCAGGAACAAAAAAACCCTTCAATTAAAGGAAAGATGTTATGTCCCTCCTACAAACATTGCACAGAAATTAAAAAGAGGGGAAAAAATGAATGCACTACCATTCCATTTTGGGGTGGTTTTCCTAGCAAAAGATTTAAAAAACAAAAAGCAAAAAAACCCCAAAATAGTCCCCGAGACCCTTTACTTTAGGGGCTTCATGGGGTGTAACCTTCTCTTTAGTGAAGTCAAATCAGGTGTTTGAAAGATTCTCAAGAAAATGTGCACTGTAAAAATAAAGATCTTCCCATTAAGAGGTGAACCTTATTATGACATAAACCAGAGGCTGAAATGAAAGTTTTTGGGGACAAGCATTAAAGACCTTACAATTAGGAATATGGTCACTTTAGTAATCCATACACATTCTAAGAATACATCACCCCATTAGAAAATGCAAGCAATAAGAAGAGTTTTGATGGAAGAATGCTGCTGTCTTACAGCTTCAGCTCCACAAAGAATATTAATTCTGCTTGTACTGCTTAATATGACCAGCTAATAAATAATTTATTCACCGTGAAAGAACATGCAAATTGCACTCTCTGCGCTTTCAGAGTTTGTAATTCTACTTCTGTGTGAAAAATATTAAATTTCAAAAGACAGGCTTGCTTCTTAACTTCCTTGGCACTAAGTCACATGAGAAAGCTCACACAAAAATATCCACTGAACTCCATTTACAACAGCATGTTAGTGCAAACAGAACCGATAATCCCTACTGCTTATTTTACTGGCATGAAGTTGGTTTTATCCAATTAGATTACCCAACCGGGAAACTCAGTCATCTGTCAGGACTGGCTGGAGCGCACACTTCTGCCTCTGCGGGGGCCACGCTCACAGGTGCATGCGAGCACTCCCACACTGTGTGCTTTGGCTCTCCCCTCTCTGAAGGGCTTAACATTTTTCTACCCAATACATTAGAAAGCTCTCTGTAAGGAAGCTTTCCTTACAAACGTGTCTTTTATGGTATTCTTCAACCCAAGTTGATATATTATGGTCTGAATGTATAGAAAACCAAAGGGGAAAACAACCTGGAAGAATGGGTAGACTCAAAGGGTAATAGCTAATGGGACAAGGTCTACCTAGAAGCCCACTAACAGCAGAAAAGCACAGGGATCTATATTGTTCTATGTCTTTATCGCTGACATAGAGGAAGCAAATCAAGTTTGCAGCAAGTACCAAATTGGGAGAAGCAGTGAATATATTCAAGTGCAGGCCCACATAAAGAGGGCCCTACACAGGCTGGAGAAATCCAGCAGGAACCTCGTGAAACTGAACAAGGACAAATGTCAAGTCCTGCACCTGGAAAGACAGAGCCGAAGAGCACCTCTGCTGAGAAGGAGCGCAGGGTCACATTAGGCAGCAGGCTGAACATAAGCCTGCAGTGTCCTTTGGCAACCATGATGGACAAGATCCTCCTCCTGAACCATATTAACAAAAGCATGGCCAACAGGCTGGAAGAAGTGTCCTTACTTTACTCAGAATGTGAAAGTTGCTGACCAACCAGAAAGAGCTGAGTAGAAGGGCCATTAAGACGAGCCAGCTCTTCCCAACAGTGCATGCTGGCATGACAAGAGACAGTTGACATAAAATGAAACAACAGATGTCTCAACTCGATAGAAAGAAAACAATTTTTCACCATTAGGGTAGTCAAGTAGAGTAACAGACTACCTAAGAAGTTGTGCAGTTTCTGCCCTTGGTGTTTGCAAGATCCTATTTGTTAGACACTCGAGCAACCTGGTTTCATGTCACAGCTGACACTGCTATGAGCAAGAGGTTGGACCAGAGATTTCCTGAGGTCCCTTTCAATCTGAATTATTCTAGGATTCTATGAAAAACTGAAAAATGTCAAAAACCATATAGAATTTTAAATAAACTGAATTTTAATTTTAAATAAAGTGTCTCTCATTAAGCTTATTTGTTGCTGGGATCTTAATTCTAATGTAGGAAATAGAGAATCCAAATGCCAATAGCAATATCTCAACATTCTCAGCCTCCAGTCCTACAAATCAGGATCCATTTGAACATATACACACTTAGGTATATGGTTGCACAAAACTGTTTTTTATAAATGGAGAGACAGATAATATAGCCAAGGTAAACATTAAAGAAACTTGAAAAAATGTCTACAGTGCCAATCCTGCAAATATGTAGACTTGTAATTTTAGGCATGGAGCTATGCCACTCAGAATAGAGCAACAGAGAGATAAAGAGACTGATGTACACTTACCTGTGTCTCTGACAAAGTATTCCAAAAACATCATTTTCTAAATGTTCCATTTGAAAATATCATAAACCATTTTATTTTAGACAGGAAACAGCTCAACTCTGATAAGCTTGGGAAGCAAAATTTCACTTCACAAGGAACTTACATTTTTAGCTAATGATTTTTAGTTACAGATGGGAATGTACTGAGTTAGTTTGATGGCAGCTCAGCCAAACCTCATAGGAAAGAAGTAAAAAATAGAATCCCAATCCACTCATTAATGAGCTAAAACCCGCATGAAATAATGATTTAACCACTAAGATTTTAATTCTTATCCAGGATTTCTTATTCTTGGAGTCTAATGGATTATTTTAGAGGGACGTCCTTAAAAATTAAAGAAATTTGATATGATAGAGAAAGAAGAAAACTTCTATACCACTGAAAATTATTAAGCAGATGTAAACACTTGAATAGATCCTTGCCCTTTTCCTTTAACTGAGTACAAATATGCTTATCCAAAGAAGCAAATATTTTGGGCTTCTAGAAATAGAAAGGGGAAAAAATTGCAAAATAAATCCTGTAGCACACTGAATCTCCTCCTGAATCTAAAAAATTTATTATTTCCAGGAATTCAGCTGAACCAAGGTATTTTCTGTTCTCTTTTCTTTTTGTCTGCTCTATTGAAACATGTCTCCTGCTCGGCATTCTCATTTTCCCCTATGACTGAAATCAATCTCTTCAAAAGAAATATACTAAAGTCTTTATTAGTTTGTTTAAAAATAAGACTTCGGGGATCTTATTTTAAAAAAATGGTGTATTTTAACTTTATAGTACATTCAGCTATTTCTTCATGTATCTTTCTGTTCACTATTGCCTTTTACATCCTGCTTATCTATCAGAGACCAAGCCCTTCTTGAAACCTTCATTTGTATGCCTGACTTCTGCCTATTCTTCATAGGCCCTTGAAGCCCTTCACAAGGTAGGGAGTGCTTTCAGCTCCCTCTGAAATCAAAGGCAGCTCAAGGCAATCAGCAGCTCACATTCACCATTTCAGGGAAGCAAACTTCACGCTCCTGATGACCGTAATGACACTGCTGCTAACACAGGCTGCCTCTAATTTATGAATAGTCTGAGCATCAGCGCCACCATTCCTTACTTTCTAATTTTTGCAGAGCAATAACTACAAAAGCCTGAAAATGTTATTTAACTCTTCATAACATTTTAAAGAGACAGAATTCTCAGGGGACAACAATTTAATCCTCAAATATGAAGCAATAGAAAAGATTACAGCATCATGTGAAAAGCAAAACACTTTCAAAAGCAAGTTTCATGGTCTAATTATTGTCCATTGCTGTTGGAATCATATAACAGAGAAAATAAGTGGTGTTTTAAAGGGAGTTAACTATTATGTGATAAAAGCAGGTTGTAGGTGAATTCAAACTTGTTACCTTGTGAAAAAAGTACTGGATGGATTTTAAATCCCCCTCCATTCTTCAGCCTTTGAGGAAGCTGTTCAAAATGGTAACTATCAAGGTAGAAGTAAACCTTCAGCGTTTGCCGGCTTCCTTCTGCTTGGTATGTGATAGGTACATCTAAAAATACAGCCAGTGTTACAATTTCATTGAAAGCAATTTCCTTTTACAGAAACTGTTGCACTCAAAATTCACGTGGTTAGATAAAAAAATTACTGCAGACACAACTAATACACTCAGTATTTTACACTGTACATGGTGTTGCTGTGGTCAGTTTTGGCCTAACCATTACCAGGGAGCAGATAAACAGAAAAACAATGACTGTCATCTTTGACAGCCTGTCAATGACAGCAAAAATATTAGGCAAATAATGTAGTTGGCAACATTCTACTTGTATTTCCTGTAAATCTGGAGAAACACAGAATGGTTTGGGTTGGTAGGATCTTGAAGATCATCTAGTTCCAACCCCCTGCCATGGGCAGGAACACCTTTCACTAACCAAGTTGCTCAAAGCCCCATCCAGCCTGGCCTTCAACACTTCCAGGCATGGGGTATCCATGACTTCACTGGGCAACCTGTTCCAGTGCCTCATCATTCCCACAGTAAAGAATTTCTTCCTAACAGCTAATCTAAACCTGTCCCCTTCCAGTTTAAAGCCATTCCCCCTTGTCCTATCACAACGCACCCCTGTAAAAAGTCCCTCTCCAGCTTTCTTGTAGGCCCACTTTAGATACTGGAAGGTGCTATAAGGTCTCCCCAGAGCCTTCTCCTCTCCAGGCTGAACAGCCCCAGCTCTCTCAGCCTTCATTCATCAGAGAGGTGCCCCAGTCTGAGGACCCACACATCTACCTCCAGCACACAGTTTGAAACCACCAGAAGGATACCTTTTGCCACATTTCACAGGCCTTTATGAAGTGCATCATGTGTTATATTAATGTGATATACAGCGTTAGATTCTCCTCAGATTTGTATACAACACAACTAAACATACAATAGTTATCAGCATATTAATGAAATTATTATTAAAAATCAGGACTCAACTAAGAAAATAAATGTACCGTGGTAGAATAGAAAACTGTAGGAGAACATCACATGAGACTTTGACAGACTAAATTTTATAATAAATCAATTGGTGCAGTGATTGGAGCAACTAGTAGCATCATTTTGCAGTTACAGGATTCCCCAACATATATCATGTGTATTATTACAGAAGATTAACATGCAATGAGCATTAGCAAAAGTTTAAAACATTTCCTATTTAGCTAAATCTCTCAGAGGAAGTCAGTTTAAATCAATTTATAATGTTTTTATGTATTTCTTGTTTAAGTGCTGTTTCCACAGATAAGCCTCCAAGTTGAAAGCAGTAACAATAAAACATAGTGACTTGCATTAGTATTAGCATTACCTAGTTTTTACACTGCACACATACCTAAATGTTAAAGATTCCAAAAGGACATTTTTCACTACTTTTGGTAATAAGACTTTTTTTCCTTTTATTGATTATGCAGAATTATAAATGAAAAAAGAAAAAAAAAAAAGAACAAAAAATCCCGAGTTACTTGTTTTCTGTAACCACAGCCAGGATGACTGTGGTGTCAGCACTTAAACCCAAAGAAATTACAGAATTTATTACAATTCTTGAACACACAGACTTTCCACTTATTAGCATAGACACCTCAGCTGGAAAATGCAGCAATATGAACCATTATACATAGGTATAAGGTTAACTCCCAATCATGTAACTACATGTTGTTACCTGATCTAGCAGGGCTTCTTTTTAAAACATTTCAAGCCTTACTTGAATGATACCAAAATAACTATGGTGTTATACAGGCTAATTCCTACCTGACTACCAGCCCTTTGCTACTGAATTCTTCAGAGCCAAGGTAGATTTCTGAATGGGTTTGTGTCTTCTGGTTTTGGTTACTGCAGAAGTTCTCTCATGTGTGGTCTCAATCCAGCAAAGGAATTGTTTCAGAATGGCTTGATGTGAAGCAGACATGCTTTCCTCCCTTCCCAGGGGAGTCATGAGAAGGGAAAAAATGAAGGCTTTTTGCTCACTAAACAAAGTTCACTGCGGGAAAATATCTACAGGATGAACACATAATAATAAAGGAATGGCTGAGAATAAGTGAAGGGGATGAACTGCAGACTGCAAAGACAGTTCCTTCCTGGTGAGTTGGGCAAGTTTGGGGAGGACCTTGATTGTCTGCAGCAGCAGGTCTCAGAAAAACTTCTTGCCAAATTTAAAGCTATCCTAATAGTGTTTGCCATCTCTTTTCAAGGAACTCTTCCAAGATCTACTTTGGTTTTCAGACAATAAAATGAAATGGGGTTCTCCATCTCACATCAGTTGCATTTCCCTACTGAGACATTCAAGATATTTTTACACGTTTCTTCAATAACAACTGGGTTGTCCAGGGACTTTCCCGATTCGGTCACATACTCCCAATGGAAAATTCAGTTAAGCAAACAATTTTGCCCCAAGGTTACTGACATTGCCAGATAAGGATTCTGCATTTTCACTGATGATAGCTGTATCTCAGGACATCTAGGAATGTTAGGAGAGCTACAGATCTACTTACTCTCCAAAATTCCAAGTTACATAACATTCCCGGTGGGAGGTGATGTTCTAGGAACAAAAAATGTTACAAAAACAGTAAAGCTCAGATACTAATTACTCACTCGCAAATAAGGGTTCTGCCTCTGATTGTCTGAAGTAAAAAGTAACTTTTTCCAAGTCAAACAATGCAACCAATGTATCTTCTAGCATGGCTTGCTCATCAGCCTAAAAAAGGCAAAAGGAAAATTGAAAAGGTCATTTCAGCCAGATGTTTTCCCCAGCAGAAATAACATAAGAGAGCAGGACTTAAATTAACTACAGAATGTTGCAGAACATTTCACTGATGCAGCGTATAACCTATTTAACTCCTAGATAACGTAAATATCTTTGTTTCTATTGGCACTTTCCCTCTTATTACTATTCCAAGATTAGAAAAATGAATGTTGCCATTTCACATAGTAAATTAATATGCAATTTATAGCTACCATTACTGCTTGTGGTTTTGTAAAACACTGGATTATTACATTATTGGGTCTGAACCAACTCAAGAGTGTTGGGGGGGGGAGGGATAGGTCAAATCTCATGGAGGTGAGGTAATGTTGTATCCCACATGCCAGCCCTTGTGAGTGTCCTGGGGTAACCCTGGAGCAGCTGTCAGTCACTGGCCACTTGGAGTCTGCTGGGCAACCCCAGGGCAGCTGCCAGTCAAAGCCAGCCTGGAAACACTTCAACACACCACACTCCCTGGAGCCCCTAATCCAGCCTTAGGTTGGCTGGCACACCAGGAGCACTGCCCCTCACCCTGCCCCAGAGCCACAGAATGGCCAGTGGGCCAGAAGTCCCGCCTGACAGGGGTGGTCACAGGGGGTGAGCACAAAAAACCAGCAACACGTGGCTCCATTTTCACTTGAGACCTACAATGTGGAAACTGGACTTACACAGGACTCACTGGTGGTAGATCTTTTCCTTTACTCTCTCTCTTTCTTTACTCCTGCTTATTATCTTAATCTCCTTTCTCAATATTTTGGGAGACATGGGACCAAATGTGTTGGACTTTGCTAAGCTGTATGGGTTAGCATGTGCTAAGTGGAATGCTCTGTTTTGGTTGTCTGTTACCCTTCTAAGCTTTTGCCAAGTTATTTACTCCCTTATTTTCTAAAGTTATCAGTAAAAGTATCTTCTCAGAAAACTTGTGTAGCATATTGTCTTTACACTACCTCAAGGTATTAAAGAACCAAGGGCTCTTCTAAATATTTGGTGGGTGAATTTTTGGAGCCTTGTCTAATTTTTAAAGTAAAACTCCTGGTTGAGCTTGTAGCTCCGGGGCTGGGGTCTTACAGGCTTTTAATCAAACAATTTTGTCATTATTCTGTAAGACACCAGACTGTAATACCTTGTCCTGACACAAGGTCTTGCTTGTAAAGCAAGAGGAGAAATGTGAAAACTGAATTCTTCTTTTTAGCAACTTTCTTTAAAAAATACCATAACTTTAGCAGTTCACTTATGAATGAAGATAAGAGTTCATTGTGTCCACTCCAAGCACCGACAATTGAACCAGCAGCTCAGAGCAAGTACAGCTCAGGGTGACTTGCACTTTTACCTACAAAACTCTAGGTGCAAGTCAAATATGCAGATGTGCCAGTATTCTGATTTGAACCTATGGTTCACTCTGTGTACTCCTGAGCTGAAGAGATAGTTAAAGAGATCCAGGACTTCTCAAGACACTTTACTAAATCTTTAAAAAAGGAAAAGAGTAACCTTCAAGTATGGTTATCTTGAGTTAAATATTCAGAGTAATTACAGTAGAAATCAATAATCACTTAAAGTTAATTCTATTCCCTACACAACGCTCCCCTAGGTTAGAAAGAGCCAAAAGGAAACCCAAGGCATGCATTTTTCCCCCTCTAAGAACTGAAACAGTAGGAAGACAAGGAATAATAAACTAGCTGCCCCTAAATTGAGTATAAACAATAGTTTACTGAATTAAAGAACAAAAAAAATCCCATGATTTTCCCTGATCTGTATAGTGAAATAGCATTCCCACTTGTACATATGAAAAAGCAAATCTGCTAGAAATATCTTTTCTCCTGGTTCAATTTAAGAAGTCTGCGGACAGAGTGATTTTGTCAGCAGAACAGTCTGAAAACCATACAGTGGCGTGGGAAATTCTTGCACAACTGCTCATTCTTTACTGAACTCTGGCCATAATGAGTGTAATTTCCTCCAAATACCCTTGTTTAAAATAACATGGATCATTTGTAAGTCAAATAGTGCTGAGAAGGTATTGAAAAAGTTGCCTTTAAATTTCCCTTGGTTAAGAACTGTTAGACAGAAAAGACAGAACTTTATTTTCAATTTGACAATGCATTCTGCTGGTATCTGATTATGTGAAAATAGCTAAGTAGCACACATTTTCACTACAAAGGAAATCACTGTGATCTTGAAAGAAAAAATTTAAGTATTCAGTGCTGTAAAGACAACAGTTGCTTTGTGGTAACATGACAACAAAGCACACAGAAAAACATAAGACAAACACCAACTGAATTTACTTTTGAACTCTAAGGATTCCAGCACTGGGACATGTTGATGCTGCATGGTGCCAAAAAAGGATCCAAGACCCAAGACATGAGTCTAAGCTCCCTGGTGCTTTCTTCACTTACTCCTCATGTGGATAAAGAGCTCTCCTGTTTCTCTGAGGCACTGATTTTACCTGTTTGTAAGCTGCACACGTTGTTCTGACACACCCTGTCCCATGCAAGCCCACATTGGTACCTCAGCTACCTGTGAGGTAGCTGCTCACACTGGCTCCAACAATTACATAGGCTAAGACTTAATGATTTTGATTTAGAAATGCCTTTATTTTTATTGGTCTCCTCAGCTTCTAAAGTTTCTCAGGTCAACTTGTCGGCAACTCTGCTGCCAAGATAGATAAGGAAAGGAAAGAACACTGATACTAGAAATGTCATCTGTTATTTCCATGGAGTTTTATACAGTATGATGGACCAAATCAGTTATTTTCAGGGAGCCAAAGGTTGAGAAGACTGTCATGGAGCATACTATGCAGACTGACTGCTTCATGGTTCTTCTGGTTAGCAGAAACCCATCTAGTGTGAGAAGCATCTTAAACAGCTAAAGAAGCACTTTGGATAACTGGGGACTAAAGGGCTACAATGCCATGTCCCTTATTTAATTGTTTCTTAAGCCATGGCTCTTTGCCAAGCCTTTTGGAAGAAAGAGCCAATTTCCAATTTCACTGTTAGGCTACAAGGATTTTCCCTATGATCAGCATGTTTAGTCCTTCAACTACTACAGATCTATAGGTATTTTGGGGGGAAGGGTGATAAAATTAACTAAATTAGGTAATTCATTTATCTTGCATTGTTGCTTATTGCAAAATGAAGTTCTGGTTATCACCTAATACGACATTTACTCCCAGGGAACAGCTACAACAGCAGTGGGGAGTCAAGGGTAAACTCACTATCTGCTAACTCCAAACAAACATAATACTGCCTTTGTGGAAATCGTATTTCCCATATCATAAACCAAACACAACCCACATCTGTAATTATCCGAATTGCAACTTTTCCAAACAGCAGCTAATTAAGTACCAAGCTAAGTACAAAGAATGCAGAAAATCACATTTATATCTAATACTGTTTAACCATTCCAGTGAATGAACAGGAGCTGCGGCCAAGCATGCCACATGGGGAGTCTTACCAGGTTTGGTGAGAGCAGGGACTGGAAATGAAGGAGAAGACCTGCACTGGCTATCTGTTCCAACCACCTCCTGCTGGCCTCCAGCGTCTCCATTTCATATTCTTTGTTGTTGTCAAACATCTGATTTAAGGCCACCATTAGCTGCTCTGAAAATGCGCAGACTGTGGCCACTAGGCTCTGACAGAAGACCATGTCTCGCCTCAGTTGTATCTCGCTATCTGTGATGGGTAGAAGCCAGAAGAGCAAAGGCAAAATGGAGCAGTAGATTAATTAACAGCAAAGGAACTGGGCTGGATTTTTTTTCTTTGGCTAAAAAACCTGTCATCTAAATGTCAAGTAAATGAAAAGTTTACAGCCTAATGTTATTCCTAGGAAATAGGACTCCAAGACCAAATATATAATGTGGAAAATGGTAGATTATTTTCTAATTCTAAAATTATATATGAGTGTATTTAAAATCTGGAATTTAAAGTATTTCTTCATGAACAATGTACATTTATCTTGTATATTTTGATATACACTCCATCAATTCTAAGTACTTTTGATGTCACAAGGCGATGGATGTTAGACCTTTTTGCTGCAATGTGAGAACAAGCTGGGCACAAAAACATTTACTTTCCACCAGAAAACAAGGACAATAAGAAGCTATGAATATGACTGCATCACCTGGTCAACTCCACAGCTACCAGCTGGGAAGGGCAGATGAACACTTTCTGCTGTAAAGCACAAAGTGTTGCTACCAGAACACAAGCTATCCAAATACAATATATATGAATATGAATCTATAAAATAAGCACAGAGCAACATCACATATCCAGGAAGCAGCAGAAAGGTACAGTGTCAGAAAAGTCCAGGAGGAAGGTCCCTAGATAGATGTCTATGGATCATTAGCAGCTGATTTAAATTAGGGACTAGCTAACCTACCAATTTATTCCGGAGGGCACAAGCATTAGATTAGATAAAGGTCAAAAGAGTTAGAAATGGAAACATATTCTCAATAAAGTACAAAACTGTGGTGATAAGTATTCAGTGCTTCCTTCTTGTCCTCTTTCCTGAAGGTCTTCAAGTAATTTTATCATTATGAGCTGTTAGGCAAACATCAATCACAATGGTACAGGTAGACTTAATCTTTCTCAGACCAAGAGAAGCAGGTCAGGTGATACTGATGTCTTTCCAAAACCTAAAATATTTGCCCTCGCTTCTAGATTCCTCTGCCCCTTTAGGCTTAGCTCCTCTTCCACTTTCTCTACGGATCTGACAAGAATTTAGATGACTGGATAAGTCAGCAGAAATAATTCTGTACTCAAAAAATTACCATCGACTTAAAAAAAATATATTTTCTTGGGCTCCAAGTATTTCTCAAAGTAACCTCATTCTGTCTGCTTTCCTTCTGAAATCTTATTCATTCTTTTTCTCAACTACTGATAATGGTGAACACTCTTTTACTATCATTTCTAATCCATTTTCCAGCTTCTCAGGACCTTGGGAATGTTTTCCCTAAATGGCCAAATCACTGCTGTTTCTGCACTGTGACTCAATGCCTTTTGTTTCAATTATTCAGATTAACCTTTCTCTCTCTCTCCAACATCTCAAGTTGTGCAAATCCAGTGCAGATAGAATTTTCATCTTTAAAAACTCCGCATATCTCCAGCTTCAAAAATCCCACTGGCTTCTCCATGGTCAAAACCTTTCCAAAGTCACAGCAGCACTCAGGGATTTGTGCCCAAAACACATTCTGTCTCCTTGCTTTGCTCAATTTTATCTCTGTTTGTCTAGCAGCAGCTGACTTTCGGTGCCTTCCTCTATATTGCCTACTTCTGAAGCAGCCCTCTTGTGTCTCCAACACCTCATTTCTAAATCTCATTTAATACTACTTGAATATCATGCATACAAGAGCACTTTGGGCTCTTTTCACAAAACTATTTTTACACAAAATAAACTATAGAATTTACTAACTTATAAATAGAATCACAGAATCTATAAAATTGTTGTTGTATGTCCTAACAAAAATAATAAAATAACAATGCATTAATCTAGTGGTGCAAGATGGTTAAAATCAGCTTTTACAGTTAAATTGGACTTCCTACTTCAACATTTATTCACTTACAAACTGTAGAGAAACTTCTACGATATTATTTTCTAAATACTGATTTACTGACATTTATATATTGTGTATTTGAAGCTGTGTGCTGTATGGGGTGATGGGAGAATTAATACACAGAATAATCAAAGCCCTTTCAAGAAGGAGGGACTTAAATTTCCTCTAAAATAAGATAAAAGAAAAGGTGTGAGTTAAAATAGTAAGGTAAGTCTGGAAACAGATGGGAATGAAAAGAAAAAGAGCAAACAGGAAAAAGCCCAACAGAAGAAAGTCAGCAGAGGTATTGTGCACAAGCTGAGAGTTTAGTTGTTTCTTTATCTGCCAAGATCCAGAGTAAACAACCAGATAAGGCATTTTGCATTAAAAAAAAAAAAAAAAAGTGCAGTGTTTGTTAAAAATGTCTGGAATTGTGTTCTTCAGGAATCCTCACTGTAAACACAAGGATAAAGTCATTGATTATCAGGTTTTATCATCTCTGACATTTTTCTCCTTTCTCTAAACATAGTATTCTGTCCAAAAGCAAAAATACTCTCAAACCATCCACATTCACCTCCCCTCCTCCCAAAACAAGCAAAATTACCTGTATACTCAAGAAGTGCCAAGAGTATTCGTGCCTTCACCTCTTAAAGAAAAAGAAGAAAATATTTTGAGGTCATGGTTAAAAGTGTTTTCATCAACATAATAATGCATTTGCAGTCTCTCATTTTACCATCTTAACTCCAACTTCTTGTGTAGGCAATCCTGATTTATACCTACGAAACAGTAACAAATCTCCACTTAACTGTACATATAACTTGAAAAAAATTGATAAAAATCAAAATCGCCAACAATGAGAAAGACACATGAAGAGTTAGCAGCTATCTGAGATCACATGTGCACCAGCTTGTCGGTGTAAGCCCACATATGAAGAATATCAGCCTTAAAACTTTGAAAAACAAGTTTTCATTGATTCCCAGAGTACATCAATTCTTTCTTCTCCCTCTCTTGTACTCTCTTGTTCTATATTTAAAAATCTCGAATTATGCTCATTTTAATGTACACCACAGGATCTAGGAAAAATACATTATTTTCACTTCATTCTCAGCCTGCAGGGTTTTTTTTGCTTTACACTTCCTCCCCACACTTTTTTTTTCTTAGAGGGGGCTGCTTCTCAAAGTTTGCAGGCAGAAGAAAGTGATTCTTCCACTTTGTGTACCAGAGCACAAATTTAAATGTGTTAACCACCACTGCAAAAAACAGGCAGATCAAAAAGCTGCCATAAAATTAGAGAGTTTCAAACTTCCAGCATATCAGTTGTCCTACAGGTACTACCTGCAGGAATACAACACTATTCACACGCTTTCACATCCTTCCAAACTTTCTTTCCCACACCCAGTTTTCTCTGCAGTCCTATTCCAAGCCCTGCTCATTGGACCAGAGGAGCTGCCATTGTGTATAGGGACAGGAAGAAAACTTGTTAATGTGTTTCCCCCTACTTGAACGTGTCTGCGAAAAGCCAGAATCTTCCCCAGAGGTGACCAGGTTTAAAAAAGTAGAAAATCTTTCAATTTTGGTCTTTAACCGTTCTGTACACACATTGCAAAATGAAGTGGCAGTGCCCATGCTTCTGAAGTACGAGCCCACAGTACCTCAAATACAAGCACCAAAACATTTAAAATTACCAGTTATTCTTGAAATTTGCAAGGTGATAGATCTTTGCCTTAGTCTTCTGTCTTTTGAAAAAAACCCACATAACTCACAGAGATTAATAACTTGGCATCTTGGAGCCTGAACATAGTTTAGTAACTTAAAATAGAGAAATATAGTTTTTATCTGAATAATGTAGATACACTGAGGCTTGTTTTACATAAGATTTGTTGGATCTCTGCATTCAAAAGCATTTGAGGTATCTATAAATAATGATTTCCTGCTTATGGGAAAATTGCAGGACACTGCAACTCCATCACTGCTGTAAGTCTTGTATGTTTCAAAATATAACCATGGTCAAAAGGGTATTTTTAGGTTATTTGTACAGAGACTTACCTGGGGTTAGAAGTGAACCTTGGATGTCAATCATTTTCCTTTTCAACAAATATCAAATGCTATGGAAGTTCTCACTACTTCTTGCTACATGTTGTATGGAAGGAAATAACTCCCCAGCAATTTCTCTTTAGACTCTGATTTGTAATCCAAAATGCCTTCAGCTTTTATTTTTAAACATTCTTTTGCACCTTATTTAAAAAACCCACTTTATTCTGCTATTCTTATCGTTTCTGGGAAAGACTAGATTTTAGTTTTCTTTTTCACATCTGAAAACACTTTAAAAATAAGACTGGGGGTTGCACTGCAAGTTTTATGATTTAAATTGACATATATTTTTTTATACCTTCAATGACTGAAAGGCTCCTTTATGCCTCACTCCTAATTTAAATTAAAAGAGATGTGAACTTTCTCAATTGCATTGTGTTTCCTGTTTAAACTTAAAATTACTGTTCTAGAAAAACAACTGCACTTCCTCATGTAGCTATATGACTAGTTGACTAGAAATATGGCTTGCTTTACAAACATCTCTGCTTTTCACCAAAAAGCTTACCTTTTTTTCTTTGGGGAAAAGCAACTACAGAAATCTCTCCTTTCTTTGTTCTGTTTACACCCTTCTGTTGTTGAGTCCCTCTCTTTCCATCCACCTTGGGTTCCTACTCAAGTTATCCCCCAGCTTTTCCTCATGTGCTTTCTGTTTCCCGTGTTACGGATCTCCCCCAGACACAGAATCACGTACCTACATTATTCTTTCTCTGTTCAGTGACTGTTCATTTCCTGCCCTGCCTTCTGCTCTCTCCACTAAAATCAAGCACTCCATCTTCAAAGATCTGCCTGCACCAACAACACATCTTTAGCTTTACTGGTTTAACAATTTAGTAGGCCCAGTCACTCCAGGAAATAACTTCATTCTTTGCTTTAGTTACTTATCTCCACATAAATCCCCCTAGAATCTGTATGCTACTCCAAAGAACTCCTCAATTCTAACAACTAGATTAGCCTTCTAGGGCTGCCTTTTATGGTAACCATAGAAAGTTTTTCTTTCTCTAATGACACGGTAGGGCAAGAGAAATAAGTCAAAGCAATCTCCACATATATTTTAAGTTTGCTGTCACGGAAGGTTTGATTGTGGTTTTTTTCTGTTTCTTTTGGTTTTGGTTTTTTTAAATCTGTGAAAATCTCATTGATCTTTTTATATTTTTCTTCTAATTTCAATTAGAAGAAAAACACTCTGAGTTTTCCCATTTCTTCACATTTTTTAAACAAAGTAAATAAAAAGAATCTTAATATCTAGGACTTTAAACATCTCATTGTGTCTCCATCCCATGTCTCCTTCTGCTTTAAAGCACTAATCAATTTAATTTAATAGAGTCTGCGGTGCAACAGAACAATGAATAAAAAATTACAATAGCCTGTGATACTTGCATAAAAAGAAGGTATTCATCCTTACTTTTGCACTGATCAATAATGCTTAAGTATATTTATAATAACTAGAGATTTTAATTAAATTTCTTCCCAGGTGAATGAAATTGTATCTGTGGTCTCCTTTGACCTCTCTTAAACCCACTAGAAGAGACAAATATATTGCTTTCCTCAATTATTATCAAAATACTGCCTCTTACTTACAAACCAACAGGAACACTCTTCTAAAATCTCAAGATATTACTCAACATCTTCTCAGAAGCCCAACTAAAGAGTCAAATGAGGTGACATCTTCTATTTTTTTTCTGAATTAGGCAAATACAAGGGGAAATGGGAAGAGGACTCTGTACCATGCGTTAGGTTTTCAGCCAGAAATAGCTCAGGGCAGTACTACTGGTTCTCCTAGGTATCCTGACCATCTGTGAACACAATGGAGGATGGCAAGACTGGAAAGGAAAAGTCAAGAAATAAAGATATGAGGAAAAAATTTGGCTGTTTGAAACATTTTTAACCCTGTTTTGTGCTCATCTGATTTCAATTAAATCCAGCTGCTGGTTGTGTCTCAATTTCTATTTATTTAATGTATATTTCTTTATATTTATATTTATATTTATATTTATATTTATATTTATATTTATATTTAATTTATATAAGCCTAGGCCTCCCTAAATCATAGCAGTCTCCCAAAATTTCCCGAGGGGAATAATTCTGCCCTGAATCTTTTCAACACTGAATTACATATACCTGTCCAAACATGCTTTGGAAATTAAGGCTTGAGAAGCAATTATTCACTTCCATTCCCCTATTTCTTCTTCATGCTATTTGTGTCAGGGAAGCCACAAGAACATAGGCTTTCAGGTATCCATTACATTGGACCCCAGGAAAATTAAATTTACAATGAAGAAGATCCCAGTTTGGGACATGGTGGTGGTGGTGGAATAGGAATCAAATTAATGGAAAAAAACTGTAAGAGACTAGAAATATGTAAAGACTCTTTGGGAATAAACAACCTAAGATTTTACCTGTAACCCATGTATTTGGGTAAGAAGACTGCACAGAAGTCCCCTGTAAATCTCTGACAAAAGCTCGGATGTCATGGACAGAAAGGGAGAGCCAAGAGTATTTAAAACTGGCAAACATCTTCTGATACGCATTGAGAGAAGGTAAGGTAAAGTGTGTGCTGCTCTTGAACAGCACAAGAATAATGCCTTTTACTATTTAGCTTTCTGAACCAAGCACCATCCACAAGCATGTCAGCTGCAATACAGTTAGTTACCGTAATTTATTAACAGAAAAAAAGTTTCATCCTTATTTCTAAAACACTAGAAAATGTCAACAGTTTTATTGTTCTGTAAACACCAAAATTTTCCTGATAAATAGCACTGTTACACTGTAGTAGTATAGTAAAAAAAAGAATTTTTTGTATTATAGAGAGGCAGCAAGTCATTTGGACCTTGCTGAACTCTCCCACAGAATTTTGTGACAGATTTAACCCCAAGTTTATTTCAATAATCTCAGCTCAATATTAAGAGTATATGACCAATGTTAAAATGGGTTAGATCAACTAAATTTATTTATAGGCAAACAAGTTATGTTAAAATGGTCTGGTAAGCTTAGCTTCAGAAAGGATGCAAGGAAGGACTGTTGAAGACACATTTCCATTCCTTCTCAACTGTGAAAGACACTCTGATTAATACTTGAATATAATTTGGCTTAGGCTGAAGATAGGCCTGTAGAAAAAAGGATTCAGAAATATTTATTAAAATATTCCCTCAGTGACAACCACCATTAAACTAAAAGAAGTATTCCTAGTATTGGAGAGTCAACCCACTGTGATTGACTCCAGAAGGAGGAGGTATTTATGGGACTATTTTTTCAATTTTCTAACACAGGGTCTGAAAATATGATTGCATCTGAAATCAGAAATACCAAGAGTCAGAGAGGGAGGAGTTTGTTTGGTTTGGCTGCTTGGTTTTAGAAAGTTTATCTTAATAAAACTTATCACCAAGTTCTTTTCCAGTGATCTGATATTTAACAGTTTCTTTATGGGACACCATGGAAATAATCCCACAAAACAGAAGAAGCTAAACACACAAAAATAATTTAAAGTTAGACCCAACATAAGTTTTTGTTACCACACAGACTCCTAGTGCAAGAGTTTGTATCAGAATAATTTTGCTCATTTTTCTGTTTCTTTAGCAAACAGCACAGGAAATAAGGCAGAAACAACAGGCAAGATATTCTGGAGAGGAAATCCCAGTTGTTTTCTTATGAAGAAAGAGGAGAAAGCAGAAGACCTCAGTTCACATTGTCACTTGATGGTGAAGAGAAGCAGAGTCTTGGTGGTAAAGAGGGGGAGTAGTTGGTAAACTTCAAGACAGTAGTGGGAGGGAGGAGGAGGAGTGACAGCATCAGTTGGAATGGATTAAGTGAAGACCATGGCTTTATGGCAAAAGTGGGAGCATGATTTTAGAGGGATAGTGACTCCAGACAAAGACAGAGAAGACCAAGATATAGGACAAAAGCTGTCCTGCAGAGTTTTCATCTTTCTACTTAAGATAGTTGAGAAACGAGTCTAATTTCAAGAAAAGACTCAATTTCGAGTATCAGTCCCATGAATTTCTGTGACAAATCAGTCAAGCCCACTGGACTTCAGCAGCAACTGAAATAATCTACCATAGGCAACATATGGTTCCTTCGTTTTCTCTTGTCAGAAAACTATTTTCTCTACAGCATCTGAAGTCTACAGGGTAAGCAGAAGACAGCTGAGATAACTCCACTAACCTTGTCATTAAGAACACAAAGAAGTCCTGTAGACTACACTGCGTTCAGCAAATCTTGCCTAGCAGCATCATGAAGCAGTATCTCTTCCCTTTCTTTCCCCTCCCTTGGCTCTGTATCATTAATCAAGTGTTTATTTATGATCATGTTGTTCTTACTAACCTTCAACAAATTTTCTGATATTCTGGGCAAGGCTCCGGACACCGCTGGGAAGGTTCCAAGGGTCTTGCTTGATGTGGAGTCGTAGCCTCTTTGGACAGTTAAGCTTTGGTTCCATTTCCTGCTGAAACTCTAAGCAAGGATAAAAATAGTATTTTTCTGCTTAAATCTCCTGAGAAAGCCACAATAGTGTTTCTTCCTAAATGTTTTCACTGCTCAAGGAGTTGTCAACTTGTTTAACTCTAGTTAAAGCTATGGTGACAGCTCTAACATCTAAGCTCCCTACTTAGTCTAAGGAGAGAATGAGCAGCATCCCCAAACATGGTTCTTTCTGAACCAACTACATAACACAGAAGGTGTCTCCTTGGAGTAAGCTGGACCCTGGAACTTTTAGAGGCAAAATTACTTCAAACAGAAAATTAAATTTAAACCAAAATTACTCACAGCTAGTCTGTCTTTCAAATAATTGAAGTGTTCCTTGTACAGTTCATGAAGATTATGCAGATCAAGAATAACATATCTGATGTGTCTCTATATTGTGTCTAACTGTACATTTATTATACCACATTTTGCTGTGTGAACTTGCTCTAGGTTCATCTCCATTATCTTAGGCCCAAAATTGCAAACAAACAAACAAACAAACAACACAACACCCCCCAAAATAATAGAGGTACAGTAATTATGCACTGTTGATTTCAGTGAGATCTTGGTACAATATGTACTATCTTCTTACTACTCTCTGGCCATCTAAAATCAGTTTTCTTTGCCAAAAGGCATGTAGGATCAATAAAAGTTCTTATATATATATTAATGCAACTTTCAGTTTCCCGCCAAACCTTTCTCTTTTTTTTTTTTTTTAAACTAAATTCACCAAAAGAAGTCCTTTGTATTTTTCATCACAATCTTATGACTACCACCAGATATCTATTTATACACTTAGGCAACTATGCAAGTGTTAGTAGAGTATCTGAATTTACCTACAGGATATTTTTTTTAAGCAACAAGTAAGACTTACGTAAGCATATATTTTGCATAAATACTTCTGTAACTATAAATTTACACTCACAAATTATTTATAAATCAGCTTCAAAAATAATATAACTACAAAAATAATAAAAATCTGGCATTAGTAATAAAACAGATCAGGAATGGCTTCAGTAGTTGAGACAAAAATGGAATAAAATCACCTGCAATGTACAAAACCTGATTCTTGCTGCAAAAACCTCCGCAATGTTAGTCAGTTCAGAGTCTACAATTTAGTTGACTATCCAACAAACCTGAAATCCTTTCATACATGGTGCAATAAAACTGTAAGAAGCCAGTTTTCAACTAAGAATTAAGATCTACTTAACATGAATTTCAACAATCAGTTTTTGCAGAATACACCAAGATTAAGCAAAATCAGTTCTTTAACACCCAGCTGAAGGAGTGGATAGCCATATCCATGTCCTCTTTAAGCTGCCTTTTGATTCTGATTGCTAGAATTAAATGTTACCTTGGAGGCCTCGACCTGGTGTAAAGTATTTTGTCTGTTCAAAGGCCCTCATCACAGCTGGTCCTTTCAGAAGACTGACAATTGAATCAACCTGTTGGGATCAAGATTCTGTGAGAAAGATGTGTTTTACAGCAACAATCAGAAATTCTTTCTTTAAGAAATATGACCACAGACAAGCAACTTCAGATTCTTTCTTACTTAATGGGTCTAGTTAAGGTAACAAGCTAGGGAATTTTAGACTAAATTTAAGGACCTGTTTAATTTGCAAGTTTGGATTATTTACAGAAAACCAAAGGAAAATGAGTAAATACATACCATCCCAGTAAACAGTGGAAAGCAAAAGTAAAAAGAAAAAGAAGTATTTTCTAAAGACATCTTAGCTCAAACATAGACATTAGTATCAAAGCCAAGGAAAAGAATCCCATACTTGACCAAAAAGATGCTCCAGGCAGCTATGGAGCTTGTCCTGCTTATCATGGGAAATTCGAACACTTATGGGAAGCTCATCACCTGAAAAATATTTTAAAAAGAAAAACTGTTCAGAAGTTTCAGAATGTTTTAACAAAGCTTTGAATGTTAGATAATCTGCTTTGCACACAGACTGATGTCTTTCAGGATTATAGTAAGTGACTCCCTACACACTTTGCATTTACCAGTCATTCAATAATACAGAAAAAGCTCTTAAAGAGAGGATCCTATTCAAAGCCCAAGTGGTCAAGGTCCTGGAAAACCTGTTCTACGTGAGCCTGTTTTAGGAGGGGACTGGACTGGATGATACCTAAGGGTTCCTTCAAACCTTAACCATCCTGTGACCAGAACACATGATTCTTCTATGCTGGAGAACAAAATAAACAGCTAAGTACTGTGAACCTAATGTAGCAAACCACAAAGTCATTGAAATGCATTCACCATAAAATTTCCATAGGGGCTCTATAGACAATTCACTGTCTTAATGATCTTACTAATTAAATGGTTATGATTATTTAGTAATTCAACAAAAATACAACATCCAAATCCTGTATTTCATACAAGTTTTTAGTAGCACATACCACATAATTTCCTAAGAGAGTGCAAAGAAGAAGGACTCTTTTAGGTCATTGTATTGTCATTGACTCTCTTAGACAACAGGTAATGCAAGCCAAAGTCTTTCAAAAACTGTGAGCAACTGAGCTTAAAACTGATTTTCCTACTTGATGGTACAGTAACATATAAGAAGTAGACACTTAATAATTTATAATCCAAATATATTCATGGTCAATCTAGACACATCAGTCTTATGTCAGTGAAACACTTATACGGCGTTTCTTTATCTTGATTTTTTTTCAGCTCGTTTAGCTTCCCTTACAGTCAGCAGTTATATCCCTTCACAGGATTTTAATTGCATCAGATGGAGCATGGTGTCCAAGAGCACTGATCTGGAGTTAGCCAGGTTAGCTTTGGAACCAGGAGAAAATTAAGTCATCCGAAGAGTGGGAGTTTCACTGAGCAGCAGTATTTATCATCTTGAACTAGCACAGATATATTATTTTAGGCACCTCAGTTGGTACTTCAGTTTGATGCTGCACAGACAGATATCAGCTCATTTATATCTCAAATTGAAGATACAGATCCTGGATCTCCTCTTTTATGAACAGTTCTCTATGTCCTTCATCCTCTCCTCTGTAAGAGTGTATCATTTCTGGAAATTAAATTCTGCCTTATTCACATTATTCTGCATTATTCACAAGCTATCTCAGATACCTTGCATAATGTCTTAATACTTTCCTGTCCCAACTGAAAATATTTCTCCTGGTACAACCAGCAATAAAAATTTGCCTTCTCTATGGCCAAGTCTCACTGGTGGCTCATATTCAACTAATACGCCCAGTTCTTTCTTTTCCTAAGTCATTCTCAAATGATAAACTCCCAGGTTAGAACAAATATTTTTTTTATTATTACTCCCTGAGTGTATGACCTTGTACTCCATGCAGTTAAACCCCATCTCATTCCTATTAGCAGCTGCATTTATTTAAATTCAATTTGTCACGGCATAAACAAGAATGTGCTTCTATGTGGTCTCACATTCCTTCCTACAAACATACACAGCCATATCCTGCCCTCTGGGTGCTGACACTGGCTGGGAGAGCATTCCAGGCTCACCTAAAATGCTCCTTGCTCTGTGCAACATAATGCACTGTCAAGGTCAAGACATGAAAGACGTTAAAAGCAGTGCCTCCAAGAGCTCTAATGGAGTCTATTCACAGAGTCACTGGTATGTTGTGTCTCTCTCATAGAAGGACTCTGAAGTGCAGCACTAGCTAGGCAGAAGCAAGACTGTGCACTGCTATTACGAAGGAGGATGCAATTTTTAAAACTAAAACAATAAAACTGCCACGCAAATTAAAAGCATAAAATTGAATAAAAGCAACAGATGGCAGATTCATAGCTGACTTTTTCTAAACGTACCTGAATCCATTTCGTCACTGTGAAAATAAGAACTGCACTGACTGCTACAAATGCTGGTGAAGGAGGCAATGGAGTTCCTATTGCTGTTGCAATCGCTTGAAAATAAAACACAAAACAAAAAAAGAAATAAAGTTATGTCCTTTAACAGACTCTGTAACAAAGTTATGGAATTTTTTTCCCTTTCCCTCTCTTAAATTTAATGATGAGGCGATCTGTGTAATTCTTCATACACAATAAAGATCCCTGTGCTCAGGCTATCATTTAATTTGCAATCCCAGTAGGACTGAGAAGACCAGATTCCCAAAATAGATGCTTCAATTGTCTCCCTTCACCTTGCATGTGAACAGTTACTTGCAGAATGGTAATATACACTTTCAATGCAAAACAACTCACTTTTGTTACGCAAATGGCAGTTTTTGAAACTGTGGCCTAAAATGTTTTAGTGACTCTACATTTACTCCTCCTCCATAGTTAATCCAAATGTCAAGACTTTACGACTTGAAAAATAGCATCCCATAATGGGTTTACAAGAGATTTGATCCATTTGAGTAGCCCCAAAACTCAAATTACAAACTATTTTCCTTGCCAGCCAAAAGATAGTTTATGATCCCATTTTTTCCAGTTGCTCATTTTTTTCAGAAATGTACAGACATTTACATCTGTGGTTTCAATTAAAACTTCTATGCACACAATATGTCACCCACATTGGTCTAGTAAGGAGATTTGGAGATTAAAATTTGTATTTTTTTTCTTTTCTCTCAAAATAAATCGTTCTGCGTAGAAAATACATGGAGAATGTACCTACTTTGGCAGCAAAACCAGAGTAAAATATACACATTTGCACTAAAAATCCTATGAAGATAAATTTGAATTCAAAGTCTTCAGAGTTACTTAGCCACATGAAGGTCATTTAATTTCACTGCAGGAAATGCATAAGTAATCATTCAGAAGAGGGAGTCTTAAAATTCAATGTAAGATAATGCAGAAGTGTACCTAAGGGATGTTTATATGTAATGACCTGGTTTTTGTTTTATGAATTGGGTGTACCCATTCACCAAGATATAAATATCCATTCTTCATATACTGTTGCAGTTATACATCTACCCATGGTGCTCCCTAGTTGTTTTCTTTATTTTTGTAGATACAGAGGTAACCTTTTACTAATTTAGGCATACTGACTTACATTTCCTGGCTCAGGTATATGTTTTGGACCTGAAGTCAACAAGGTAAGGAAATGGGATAAACTTTTAAATGAAGTAATATGATATAATTACTATCATAACCATTAAGTAGATGAAAAGACAACGGTAACAACATGTTCCTAATAGAGGGTGAACAGTCCCAAGGAGTATTAGAAATTTCTGGCTGGATATTAAGAAATGTTTTCTAACTAACTCTATTCACTTAGTAAAGTCTCCAAAGAGAAGATGAAGGTTAATTAAAACTGCATTGTGCAAAGCATGAGAAAATAAAACACAGGAAAATGAGAAACAGATTAGATGTATTTGCTGTATCATTCTGCATGTTTATTATGTTGTATTACAAGGTTTAGAAGGCGACAAAATAAGAACACTCTAATGGCTGAAATTAGCCTAACATTTCTAATAATAACCATGGTGGCATTATGGGATCTGGAGATTTTAAGTATTGATTATTATAATTATTTAAGCAAAGAAACAAAACAGTCTAATCTCACTCCAACATTTGTCCTAAATGCACAAATTTTATGATTATTCTGCATATGGAACCATAGATTTTATTCTTCCTAAACAGTCAGGATGGACTTTAAATTACAGGAATCAGAATAAAGAAAATATTTTGCACTCATGGCCTGGGCACACCTTCTTTCTCCTTATACAGATCTGGGAAACCTCCCAGCAGGAGTAATCACACACCACTGGAGTGGTTCCTGCTTGGTCAGTTTGACACATCACGGACATGCAGAAACCCCTCAATGGGCTTCTGCTGAAACAGCACTTTTCTTTTGTGTAAGAAAAAGATGGATTTGTGCAAATTATTTCTACATTTATTTCTGTTCAAAATTACGTCTATGTTTCTGTTTCTACTCTGACAAAGAGTTCCTATCTACCAGGCTGCAGTAATCAAGTATCAGCTTATGAAACAGATCTCAGCAACACACGGTTCTGTAGAAAAATGATGACCCTACTGAGATTCTACTTTCTGAGAATAATAATGAACTATGATAATGAACAAATAATAAACCCTTATTTTACTTGCAGCTAAAGTTTTAATTTAGATTTTAGATCATGTAGCTAACCAGTTCCCTCTAAGAAACAGAATATAATCTATGTAAGAACCACACGTGCTATAATTACTCTTTCCTTTTCAAAATTCTTTGTATTCTCATTCACAGTAAAAGTGATGCATTACGAATTCTAGAGGTGAGTTGATGCTACAATATTCAGAGTGAAAGAAGGTAAGGAATATATGTTGAAAAACATTGTATTTTTTTTTCTTTAAGTATTTTTTTTTTCTTTAGATCAGGAAGAGTGGCGTCTCTGTCATCTTGCTTTCCGTGGTAGACATTTATTGTTGGAGACATAATAACACAAGTTATTTCTGTTTTTTATAAGACTGGTAATCTAAAGTGAAGCTTTACACCTCCCATTGCAATATTCTAAAAAGGTTTGGGATACTAAGATCTAATAATTAATCTGTACACATAAAAGTTTAGTTTACACATCTTGAGGCTAGCTCTTCCTCTGCTGGAAAAGTCAGAATCACTGTATTCTGATAGTCTTCATAAACACTCGATAGTATATAAACCTCCAGGTTTAATTCAGCTGACAAATAAAAATATTATTAGTAAAGTTACCTGTAAGAATCCCTGTTACTGATGGTATCATGACCAGAATCTTCCTGTTCATCACCTGTCACACTGAAACAGACTTTTTTCCCATTCCTTTCACCCTTTTCATTATCACTGTCTGCTGGTATTAAGGGCTCAGGTGTTTTACGTTCTGATTTGGGAGAATATGTTATTGAAGAAAGAAGGCTGTAAAACAAACAAACAAACAAAAAAAGATAAATTCATGTTTTTCAGAAACGAGCTAGCAACAGGACAAAATTTCTCAGCATCCTCCAGCTATTATTCTATACTATGTGAAAGGAACATCTTAATTCAGTCCATATCTATTTGAAACAAGGGAAAGAAGTGACAGATTCTGTAGCTAAAAAGTCTAACGGTGAAACCCATTAGCTCTACTAAATACTCAGTTGTGTATGGAGGTAATGATTCGAACCAGGAAAGAAATAAAGCACATTTTTGGACACTTAGGGTCAAATTTTATATTAACGTAACTATTCCTAGACATGAATTATGTACTTCTCAGCACAAACCAAGAAAACAAACCAACAAAACTGTATATGAAAAACATGTTTTTTCTCACTACCACTGCACTAGACACGCCAGTTTTCATCACAAGCTATTTTACTAGGGCATTTTAAAGATCCTTATTAACATCTCTATGTAATTCCTGACATTCAAAGTGTCTAAGTCATTATCAGCAGTAAAACTGATGATTAATATACATGCATCTGTGACGAGCACAGAAGTGACATCCAGCCAAGAAGAGAGAACAGTTCAGACGGCTATTTTTAGAACATGCACAAATACTGGAAGCAAAAAATTCATATTATTGGGTAATTAACTAATACTGAGATGTTCTAATTTACTTTCACAATCAGAACAGCTATAATGTGCAATTGTCCTTTATTCGTATTGCTCAAACACTCCATTAGAATGACTTTTGAAAAGCACCATATTGCAAAAACTACCTTCTAACTACCTGAAATAAGAAGACACTGAACTAAGCTTTTTTACTTAAACATGGTAGCAAGGTTATATTGAATGAGCTGTCAGAGTGGTCAGCTGGCAAACTTTCTACCAAATACACAGTAAGATTCAAACTTATGTTAGATCTTTTTGTTACATGTAATTCTTACTTCTGAAGGCAACAGACAGATATTTAGCCCATATATAGGCAAAGATACTGAACTGAACTGTATCTAAAATACAGAAAAAGGATATTAAATTTATAATTTCACTGGACTTGAAACCCACCCATCCACTAGACTGACATCTTTTGCGCTACGTGATGCCTTAACACTTCATATCAGTGTGAAATCACAACTCAGTTCCTTCCAACCACTTAAGTCACTGGTTAGGAGGATTCTATAAGGAAGGGAAGAGAGATAGGGCTTGTATTTTACATCAGTATTCAGTGTCCATCTATGTGTCCATTAAGAGCATGTGTGCTCTTGAACTTGTCCTAAAATAAATGTGTTATGAAAGTGTAAACCTTAATAAATCAGTTCTTCATACCTGTAAAACTTATTTTCTGAATATAAAAATATAAAAGGGATTCAAAAAGGAATTAGAAAAATTCCTGGTAGATTATTCTAACAGTGCTCTTAAACCAAAAGGTTCATTTCAAGAACACCATGTAGTGCTGCCTGCTGGAAGATAAGATGAGATAAGGACAAGGATTAATCTATACTTTTGCTTGTTCTTGTGTTCCTGTTGTCATCCACTTCAAAAATTAAAAATAGGCTTTGGACATATTCATTCCAGTAACTTCTTCTGGATTTTGTTGTTGCAAGAAAATAATCAAGAGTAAGAAACAAGCATAATCAACTGCAATTTCATCTCCTGAAAATATCTTCCCCTGAGTAATTATTTGTCAAGACACAGGCAGACTATTATGTCCTTTTCTTTTATGTGACTGTTTAGTCACTTCTGCCAAGAGCTCAGTAAAAGACTGATTAAAGTACTTGGAGCTTTTCCTAAGGGAGTATTTCCCTTTCTCTCAGCAGGCAGGTACTTTTTCTAAGGAAAAAATTTTGCTGAACTACCATGAACGAAAGTTGGAACTTGGGATAAGGGAGTTCAGGAGCTGGCAGTTCTTGAGCTCAGTGAAGTGCTCTTAGAAATTCAGGGAGTTTAAAACACACAACCCCAAATTTGGAGGCAACCTCTTCCCAATTATCATGATTAAACATACTTTTCTTTGTTTCTTTTGTTTTTTCTTAATTTGTAAGGTAGTCATTTAGTAGTCCAATGTTTCTATAATATCATATAAATTAAGAATTGTGATACCATGTTCCTATTTTCTCTTGAGAAAATTGCTTATTGCAATCCTCCTTATAATAAGCAATTCTGCAAATAAAGACATCAATTTCACTGTTGTTATGTCATAACAGAAAACAGAAGTTCTACTGTCTTTATAAAACACCCAAGCAAGCATTTCCTCCTAGCTGTTGCAAGTACAAATATTTCTAATTAAGGCACAGCCGTTTGATTATCCTATCTTATTACCCTATCTTTTGTTTTTTAGTAGTCCTAATTTTTCTCTCAAGAGTTAAGTAGTAGCTCTAACTATGTTGTAATATAATATACCATGTACTTCTGAACTGCTCTCACCCAAATAGTCCCAGCTTCCCTCTTCCCTGTTCAGCACTTTTAAGTAGGTCCCTTGGCTATTCTGTTTCATGTATAGAACAGCTTTTCTCCACAGTAATTAAACACTGGCAGTCCACTCAAAGTCCATGAGGAATAAAGCATGAAAAGTAGCAGTTTTAAAAATAGCCAAAGGTAAAATTTGCTAAATAAATCTGTGCACCTTATACAAGACCTGCTACTAGGTCATCATACAGGAAATTTAGGAAAGAAAAAAAAAGTGAACCTCATGTTTACTGTCTTAACTGTATGACTTTCCAAACTAATATATGCATAGATACATATATATATTTCTGTACACACAATGCATAAATATACATGTGTTTATTTATATGTACATATATATGAAAGAAAGGCTCAGAATTTCCTGTGCTTTTGCATCGCAGGCTCAAGGGAATCGAAAGGAAAGGTGTGGCAGACTACAACTGGAACTTCCTGAAATACTGACTAAACTTCCATAAACAATTCTCTGACTTCCTTGAGGAAGACTAACAACACAGCCTTTACAGACAGTCATTTTTAAGTGCACTCAAGCACTGAAATTATTGTGAATTCAAGTAACTGACTTTATCTTCAGCATGATAATCAGCTTAAAAACATTGAGGCAACTCTTCATTCCCATTGTAGTATGTAAGACATTACAAAATCAGTCTACAGTCTTCAAGATAACATGAGAAACAATGACACACTATTTTTCTAAACTGGAGATCATGACAGATTGCCTTTTAAACTCAAAAATTTATGTTATTTATATTTTCAAAATTAAAAATTTCTGACAATTGCATTGCATATAGGATCTTTCAAAACTGAAATACTTCTTAACCTTCTTCATCCTTATTCTAAGACAGCAAATAGCCCAGCAGTCAACCCACAGAGCCCACAAATGAAAAAGAAAGTTATAAATCCTTGTCCTGAATTAGGACAGACTGTGATGAGACTCTGAGTCTCCCACATTCAAGCCAAGTGTCCTATCTTACTTCAATTCTATCTCAAGTCAACACTGATTCCTACACTATACAAAAACAATATCTAGATTTATCTTCAATGGAAAAATTAAAGGCAAGTCCAGATGTTAACATTTACTTACTCATCTATTTGACAGACACATGTTTCCACCTCTTTCAGTGCAGCTTGTAATTTGAATAGCAATTTTTGATAGACATCTTGTGTTTCTAAATCTTCTTCTTTTAAGAGGTACCTCAGACCATGGCCCTCTTGCTGGCCAAGAGACTGTCCTGAAGGGGCAGCCATAGTAGTAATGGTATGCTGGACATAAATCATGGGATTCAGTTTACCTGGGAATAATAAAAAAGATGACATCATCTTTTTTTTTTTAAAATACATTTTGAAGCTAGTAAAATACCTATCAGATATTAAAATATTTTCCTGCTTAAAACTTCATGAATTATTCAATTTTGCATTTTATTTGCATATCAAAGTCAAGCTATTTAGGAAAAAGTTATTGCAAAATTATGACTAGCCTTTATTATGCTTTAAAAGAAACCTAGGTTTCAAAAGTAGAGTGATTTCACAAAAGCTCATCCTTAATTTCCCTACTTGGGCCATAAACCTAAACCAATTACCTTTTAAGACTATAAATCAGAAGCACTGGAAGTAGTTCTTACAAGCTCAAATGACTTACCTTGATCAGTGTTTTTATTTTCCTTTTCATGAGAAGAATGTTTTCTGCTGTCTAACTGTACACCAAAGGCACTACCAAGGGAAGTTGAGGTCTTAGGGTAAGACACTTCCATCACATTGATATGGCAATTGGTTGGACAGAAATCACTGCTGTGAAGTGGTGAAATCTTTGACTTAGCTTGTTTGAAGGTAGGCCAAGCTCTGTTTTTTAATACTCTTGAAAACTAGAAGTGAGAAAGAAACCAAATTTTGATTAGTAGCTCTTCATGTGTCAGCACTTGGCTGACAATACTTGTGTACCTGACTAGAAAACTAAAGCTTAAAATATTTCAGCCATCCTTGAATTAAGGTGTCCTGACTTCATGATTTCTAGCCTTCTCTACAAAGGTAAGAAAAATGTTTTTCATTTTATACTTTTAAGGGGTTGTTTCTTGAAGTAAACTATATTTTAAAATGTAAATAGCTATGTAACAAAGCTATATACTTTATTTCCCATGGAACATAATAAAAAACTAAGTCTCTTTCTGGAGAGAAAGTCTGGTACTGCTTTATGATCCATGCTTTATGATTCATGCTTTATGGTCTACTGTATGTGACATTTATAAACACCTGTTGAATAGATGTCAATGTCTTGCAAAATTTTTGTCTGAAGCTCTAAGAGAGAATTGGAAACTATTTCATATTCAGGAAGGATGAAGTCCTCTCTAATGATATCCTGGGCTGCATTAGGAGAAGCATTGCCCACAGGCTGAGGGAGGTGATCCTGTTCCTCTCCTCAGCACTGATGAGGTCACACCTGGTGTACTGGGTCTAAATCTGGGCTTCCCATAAATAGACATGGGCATATTGGAGAGAGCCCAGTGAAGGGTCACTAAGATGATTAAGGGACTGGAGCATCTCTGCTATGAGGAAAGGCTGAGAGAGCAGGGAGCCTTCAGCCTGGAGAAGAGGAAGCTCAAGGGAAACCCATCAATGTATACTAATACTTGATTGGAGGGTGCAAAAAGGATGGAGCCAGGATGTTTCCAGAGGTGCCCAGTGCCAGGACCAGAGGCAATGGTCACAAACTGAAACATGGGAGGTTCCCTCTGGACATCAGGAAACAGTTTTTTACTGTGAGGGTGATCATGCACAGGTTGCCCAGACAGCTTTTTGGATCTTCCTCCTTGAAGATAATCCTGGGCAACCATCTAGGTGGACAAGACCTCCAGAGGTCTTTTCCAACCTCAACCATTCTTCTATTTTGAGTGATTCTAGGAAGTTAATAAACACTAATACATAAAGACTGCAAACACCACATTTTACAGACTTTCCTAGTCTACTACTTCTTCTTCCCCTGCCATATATCAGCTCAGAAAGGAGGGATGGGGTTTTTTCCCCCTCTGTTTTATAGTCTAATTCTATTACAGTGCTTAGCCACATCTCCTTCACTCTAACATCTGAAATCTTGCAAAGTCCTGGATAGGCTTAGAGTTTTTTGGTTTTTAAGATGAAAATATGTCAACCCAAAATGGTGAAGATTGAACTGTACTAAATTTGGACCCTCAGAAAACACACCTACTTCAGAATCATAAAAGTCATGAGATCAAGCTCTTCCATCAGCAAAGAGCCTTGCGAGCCACAAACAGAAATTTTTGTCATGTGTCCTTTTCAGTGTAGTTTTTTGCTAGGACAGAGTTTTTTTCTGGCAACGTAGTCAGTTCCAAGTCCTTGGTATTTTAATCACAGTATCTCTCCAGTCAAAATATTAAACAGACCTACCTCAGCTATGGACCATAAGAATATTTTCAAAGTTAACTTGCAAAGTTTCTTCATTAATAAATGTCAGCACAAATTCAACCAGTCAAAACACTTCAGTTGAACAAAGGCACATCCCTTCTGTGAGGTAACACTTGTGCTGGGACTTAAATTTTTGTTTATTTTGGTGCCATATTACTTCAGCCTGATGAACATTTGATGGGTTAATTACATTTAAATCTTAGATCACAACAAGATCTGGAAAGTTACAAGAAATCCAATTATGGAATTGTTCAAAGGCTGAAGAATGTACAAATTGTTAAGAAGGGCAATAAGGACATTCAATGAAGAAAATGTTTCTGCAAGCAGTACATATTTCACATCTCAATCTCCCACACATCCTGCTCCAGAGAGACCAAATGCCTGGCTATGATTTAATCAGGTCATAAGTCACGACCAAAATTCTTTTCATATATGTGTTGAGAAACATCTGGGACTCATGGCACTGGACTCGAGGTCTATTAGGAGCAAAATGTTCTGATAATAATAATAGTAGGGACTGCAGAAATCTACAAGGCTTCTATTTATATAATTCGAACTTTCACAGTGAAATCAGGAGCCAAGCTGAGCTCAGGCCCTCCGAAACTCTCCTGTAACTATGGTTACCTTTACCTTGCCAAGAAAATGACGTATCTGTTCCTGAAATTCACTGCATTACTAATTGTCATTAAAAGCTATCTGTGAAACAACTGATTTTTGAGTAGATGAGCTTGAAAGTGCAGTTTGTATCAGCACTATCTGCTTCTAGACAGTATAAGAACTACATAAACTTCCCCGAGGCTGTTTATTTCACATCCAGCAAACACAACAAAGTTTCATTTATTGTCTTGGCCTCCTATATTGAGACTGTATATCACAGTCAAATTTTTTAGTTACAGAAAATGTATAAACTGCCTACAGGTTACTTCAACTCTAATTCTTAATGTTAAAACTAATGAATTTAGTTTTTAAAAAAGGCATTTTGATTTTTAACCAATTTGGAAACATGAAGGTTTGTTATTCAGGCAAACAACAGAGAGATTGGATGTTTGCTAATGTAGTATCAGAATCCTTTCAATGTGTCCATTAACTCAACTCAGTTTGTTCCATCCCTTGTCAGAGAGCACCCTAAAAGGTCTTTGACAAGGTGCTTTTTGGCCACCACCCTGCTAAAGCTACAGATATTCCTAACAGTTCTCCCTGCTTCTCCTTTGAAAAATAAGAAAACATCATCCACTCTTCTCCATGTAACTTTTAGAAATGTGTGAAGCTTTTGTATTCAACTTGCTTTTCCTTTCCCTTGTTCTTTTCAATTTTTTGTGTATTGACTCTTAGAACAGACTAGTTTGCAAATGTCACAACTCAGATCTCCAACTGAACTAAGACAGGGCACAGACAGTTCTTTGGAGCCATTTTGAGCCTACTTCAAAATAATAACACACTCCCCAAATTAGACTATATGAGAGAGGAACTAGGAGCCTGGATGAGAAAATAAGTTTGCACTAACAAAATGGCAAATGGTTTATTCCTTTATGCCCTGCTTGGTTAAACAACTATAGAGAAATACAGTGGCAGCAACTAGAGGTTGTAGTCTGGGTTATTTATTCATTCATATATCATTAATTTAGATCTCAAGCATATGAAAGTCAGCACCCTCTCCATTTTTCCATGCTATAATGCTTTATTAACCCAAGTCAATCTAATAATTTACAGAGATATTACTATTAACAGTCATGCTACAAAAAGCACACCAATTTGGAGGGCAAAAAAGATGAATAAAAAGGTAACAATTTGGTATTTCAAACTAAGATGCACTACAGGGAAATAAACAATTCTGTTATTGCTTCATTCTTGGTTAACATCTGCAAATTCACTGGAGTATTGGTTTAAGACATGTACAAGAATGATGGGTCTATTGTGGAAATATGCAATTGCATCTACAACTGAACACAGCAAACAGGAAAAGATACTACACAGTGTCTAGAAAAGGGACAATAAAGAGTATGGTCTGAAAACAACTGAAGCAGTCAGTTAAGGCGTTCACACCTCAAAATAGCTAAACTTTCAGCCACGTTTTTTGCCACTGCAGTAGGCATTTTGAAGAGTTATTCAAACTGTACCACATTCCCCCTGTCCCTTAAAACTAAGGACACACTGGTCATACCTTTTTATAACTAGAGATTCTTCTGTAAATATGCTCAATTTTCTCGCTGCAAATGACACTGAATTTACTTTGAAGCTCGGTGGGGATCACTTCATTTAAGGAATTGAGACTGCTGCAATTCTGCACAAAATGTTCATCACTTTTTGCCAGTGCTTCAAGAATCTACAATAATAAAAACAAAAGCAGTACATTAAGAAATTAAGTTGACTAAAATTTCCCTTACTCAACCCCTTACTAATCATCTCTTACAATTAAAGCTGAAAAGCCTGATAATCAGCTGCCTTTTAACATTACAGGCAATGGTGCATAACAACAATAAATTAAACTTGGGAAGCAAAGAGGTTTCTTTAAATCCTGCAAAGTTATAGCCATAAGTACTTCTATTTGGCTTCTCATGACATTGTCTGATAATGGATTTGCTATTAATTTCCTCCTAATGTAACTACTATGGCTCCTCTGAAATACATTATCTGCTGTATTTACTTGATCAGCACATATTATGTAAAGCTGATTAATTAATTCTTTACTTGTAGCAAAGCTTCAGTCTGGCAGGATAAGCAATCCTAGTACATTGAAAAAGCATACAAGAAAACTGAGTGTTATCCCCTCATTTATTCTGCACACAAAACCAGGAAATAAGGCACAGAATAAGCTGTACTGCCCAGCAAAGACTGAAGTCTTGCTATGATGGAAAGCGCATCAGCAAATGATGGTGAGAGAAAACTAAACAAAAAAGGCATGAGGGTAGTATATAGTCCTTTTTTATTAAGTTAGAGTTGCATTTCAGGCATTGAAATTCACTGGGCTATGGAACCTGGAAGGTGCCTATTGCTGGTTGTGTCCAACTCTGGAGATGTGTTCGAAAAACACACCCAAAATAACTTGTTAACAACAGGACACAAAATCCAAATTGAGGTAAGGCACGTAAATAAGAAAAGGCTCACAACGTTTTAGAGATGCTTAAAGAAAACAAACTAAACAACACATACAGTACTAATCCATCATGGGATTTATCACAGAATATGCCGAGTTGGAAGGGATCCAGAAGGATCATCAAGTCCAACTCCTGGCCCTGCACAGGACCATTCCCAAGAGTCACACCATGTGCCCTGTCTGTTCAATTCTGCTACAGCTCATTGTTATACTATTCACCATCAAAGACAAAAGATATGATTTATAAGCTTCACAATAGAAAAAAAAATAACATACAGAAATTTTGGAGTGCAAAATCTGAATTTTCAAGAAGTCAGAGATTATAAGTGACTAGTTCCTGAGAGAATTTTTTTCTCAGGTCCCCACCAGGTGAATTAAGGAAAGCCTTTAACTCTTCTGTTATGATGTTTAGTTACTGTATTAAAACACCCCAATCACTTCGGTCACACTTTTAAGCTTCCTTTATGTCAGGTTTAATTAATAATACAAATTTCAATAATTTAAGTGGAGTTTTTTTGCAGCTGTACTTTCAAACAGTTGCATTCTGCAGCACAACTTTGGATAGTTTCTCATCTTAAGAGTTAACACAGATTTGCACAGCATAGGAAAGCAGCCCAGAATTAATTCACTCCCCTACTCCATATGATGCAGAATACAGTTGTTTAAAAATGCAAAGTAACAATACATACATAGCAAAAAATGATGCATATGGAGAGAAGCATAAGGCCACACTGAACACACAGAGAAGTTTATGTTTAGAGCATTTCAAACTATTAGTAGACAGTTATATGGGATAAGTACCACTAAAATTGTTGTTATTGTCTTTTGAGTTAAGAGACCTGATTTTTCTACCAGTGAACCTTTTGTAGTCACTTAGATCACTATCACTTGATACAAACTTAATTGCCACATTATTTCTCCTTATTATTTGTAATAACTTTGAAGTATTTAAATAGCCACCCTAAACACTAAAGGGGATGACACTGCACTATTTAAGGCCAGAATCAGTGTGCTGGAAGTACCTCTTTACTTAACTACTTCATATATAAGAAGGGGAAAATATTTCTTAAGCAGTTAAAAAAATAACACCATAAACACTTTATATGAAATTGCAACTACAAGAATTTCAGGCCACTGATCTGAATCATTGACTAGACCAGCTTTAGCAAATCTCACGATGTTGGTGTAAAAAGCAACTCCCTTCAAAATGTCAGAGAGATTACGGTGACCAATTGTAAGGTATTAGATGAAATACACATAATCCTAAGAATAAAAAAAAGACACATGTTGCTCCATTGGTACTAAGCATAGCAAGAATTAACAAACACAACAATTGCTTCATACCTTTGCAGTCAAGCTAAAAAATCCCTTTGGTTCAATCATTTTTTCCAAGACATGGCACTTTATTCCAGCTGTGCTGTCGTACTCATAAACCACTCCATACTCCAAGTGAACGTTGTCAACAGTCAGACTGACATGATCTTTCTTCCCATCAATTATTGCCATGGTGTTAAATTTGTCAATTACCTCTAGAATAAACAAAGAAACACAAATCACTTGACAAGCGCTGGTCACTAAATAAACTAAAATGGACACTGGCAAACATTCTAGAAACAGGTACGTTCTGATCATTCTATTTAAAAAAGTTCATAAAAAAGCTGGCTACCAGCTGAATGATTTCAAAATCGGAACACCAGTAGGTTTATAGGTGCTATAATACTGGACTGCAAAACAGGCTGGGGTCTCTCTTTACAAACAGTTATTGAAGGGGACTAATTCAATTTTGTTTATAATTCAGAGACATTAAAAAAGCCCCCCAAAAAAGGAAAACTGAGAATTTCTAAATAAACTAGAAGAAAATGACCATGAAAAGTGTCAATATTCAGAAATGAAACCACAATCTTCATTTATGCAGAGAACATAATACAGTTCACATGTCAACTGTCTCTTTAATTACCAAGATGCATAATAATGCAATTTTATCTAAATGTTAATTGCCTGAAAACAATCTGAAGGATAGCTGTTTTTTTATTTCTCATGCAGTAATGACTATATTGCTATAAATGATTACTAGTGGTGAAAACAAATCAGGTAATTCCTAGGATTATGTATTTTACAAATGAAAATGGAACAGATTTTCCCCAAAGTGTTCACAGAAGATTTTCTCTAAATAGGAATGATAATAATTTTCAGAGAACATCATGTTAAATTTACGTGTTTAGAATACGTATGAAAGGAAATCCTTATCCAAAACACATCTTACAGTCTGTAAAAAATTACTTCTCTGAAAACAAACCCACTGCCTGCATTTTCCTTGCTACCACACCAACATTCTGAGCAACAACAAAATCAAACAAGCATCACATACCTTCCACTTTGCAGTCAAAGGCATCACCTCCATCATCTCCAGAGGGTTTAGTGTTTGTTTTCTGAAGATCCTCCTGTGCACTTTCAATGCTGTTGTAAACCCACTGTATAGAATCTTGCTAAAAATAACAACAAAAAAAAGACAGTTAGGAAAAGCTTTGCAAGTGCAATTGATAGCAACTATTTCAGCGTGAAACAGCTGCTTTAATTCCCTGATTATTATCAGCTTTACTGCCTTCTGAGGTCTAAGTTAAAAAAAAACAAAATTAAAAATTACAGAGAATTTTGGCATTGTATAACACCATCCGCAGAATTTTGGCAAGTTATTTTTTATTTCAGAGTCTACTGTCATAAGACACTATTAAATTTGTGAAAGCATGACATCCATCAGTTTCGTGCTTCTGACAAAAATAATTTAAGACATTTCAAATCAAACGGGAGACTGAAAAATATTTAAGACAAGAAATTGTGAATGAAAAAATTAGGAGAACCAATTTTTTGCCCTGCTAAATCTGCTGTACATCCATGAATCTGCTGGAAAGTATTATGGAATATCAACCAATGACAGAGTATGTCCAGCTAATCTATTTCCCATGTTTCACTGGCACAAAAAACGTACACTACAGCCTTCATTACTTGTAATTGCCTTTTCTACACTTATTTTCCAAGATATATTTTATTTTTCCCTCAGAATAGCAAACCCACCAAAAAGAACAGAATCACAGGCTCCAGAAATCCACCACCTCATGTGGCTGAGTGACACGTGAGCGCAGGAATCGTGGCTTACATGGTTCATACAACCTATGAAGAAGCCACGTGTATGCCTTATATCTTGTACATCCCACCCTTGTGGAAGGGTCTATCAAGTATGACATCTCCAGGCTACTCTTCTTTGTCCCTTAGATTTCAAAAAAAGCTTGACAGACAGTTCATCACTCCCTCTCCAACAGCTACAGTAGAATAAATGACATGATTATGGCAAATCTGAGTTCAGAGACTTCAAAAAGAAGTTTGTAGAAGAATTCAAAGTTAAGCAAGAATGGCAAAACTTTAGGCTGAATGTTAAAAATCCTCATGAAAAGTGTCAAACACATGTAATTACCCTTTGCTAACATACAACATTCAGCTATCTTTATCCAATCAATCATAGACAATTAAATTTTTGTATGATTAAGGTACTGTTTCTCTCTAGGTTTCCTAGATTCATTTATGCCTTGCTTTTCACTCAATGGCATTGAAATATTTTAAATAGAAAGCTTAAATTTCAGAGTACTCTGTTGACTGGTGGAAGATCCTGTGCAGAAGTTGATCAACAGGAACACTTCTGAAGCCCACACTTCTTTGCAGTTACCCCTGAAAGCTTGCTGCTTATTTATGGATTCTCACAGGTTTGCTTGGCAGCATCAAAAGGGCCACGCCAATCTCTAATAGGAAATACTACACTACTTAAACTGGAAGTCCTTCTTTCAGAAGTTTACATGATCTAATGCATTATGGCTTGGAGCAATGTTCTCCAAAAGCATTACAGAGGAGCAAACTAAGCATAAATCACGGTTAGTATCACTGCAAGGAAATTTTAATTCCAAGAAGTAAAAGCTGCTCTCAGTTTTCTTTATCCAGACGAGACAGAAAGAAGACAAACATTGTTCAACAGAAGTTACACAGTTATTCACACAGCATGAATCTGAAATGAAACTTCGTGCTTCAGGCAAGCAGGAAGACTTCTCGCTCTGAGAAGTAGAAGATATAAGAAACAGAAAAAGATCCCATTTTCAATTATGCAATTGCCAACCTCAGGAGAGACTGCAATCTTTGTGTTTATTAAATGATAGGCTAATGCACTGTACTTAAAAAATAGAAGAACGCCATAATCATCTTCTAAATAATTAAAGAAAAACCCTAAATTTCTGAAAAAGAAATGAAATTTTAGCTGTCTTGGCACCAGTGGGAATACTACCATTTATTGCAGTCTAGACGGTTCACCAATAGTTTTTGATAGCACTAGGTTCTGACTTAAGTTTTTCTTGTCAGTCTGGAGAATTTCAGTTATCTTGATCTGCTGAATTGTGATCAGCTACTTTTTAAGATTGAAATAAATACTCTGTATAGGAAAAATTCCAAGTTATTACACAAGTGGATTAAAAAAACCAAAGTAATTCTTCATGTCAGGGTATTCACACCAGCCAACATTAATCAGTCCTCTTTTCATGTCACTAATATGCATAGGAAGTCTACAGCTATACAGAGAGAACACAACTGCTATAAAGAATTTCTCTTTTATTCCAGCCAGTGGACAAAATATCCAGCTAGTGCACAAAATATCCTCCTTACTAGAGTACCTCTTTCTTTAAAGAATAGGTGAACTTGACCTTGATATGCTGCATAGCAACTTCAATTCTATATTAGCAATTAAACACAAACATCCAGACAACATTTCCATAAAGACTGTATCTGTATAATGCAGTTCTAACAATATAATTCTTATATCTATGTAGTAGGTGTGGGAAAAGGATTTCACTCTTGATTTTAATTGGATTTTTCTCCTCAGTAAATACATATTGGAAGAGTTTGGGAAGTTAATTAACAATATCAGTTCACAGTTTATGAAAAATTTGCAGGGACTTGTAAAAATTACATTCTAGAATCCAGCTGGTTTTGTGTCCTTAAATTTGTGTCTTGGAAGCCTGGGATTTTCTCTTAAAGTAATATGAAAAAGATAAAATTTGCATACTTATATTAAAAAAAAGAAAAATAAAAAAGGAACCTTTGAGTTCTTGAATGTATGTTTATTCCCAAAACTGGAATGCAATGGGAAATCAGACCTTTATAGATGGTATATGTGCACTCTGCTCTCTATGTGCTGAAGTGTTACAAAATTCTAGAATAAGATCAGCATTTTGCATTTCATTCTCCTGCTTCTGAGCAGGCAGCAAGCTGCGTGATTCCTCTCTATCAAGATAAGAATGTATCTCATAAGGCTTTCTGCCTAGGACTGCAGAAATACTTGAAATAATCCTTTAAAAATACCATATAAAAATTATCTATAAGATTAGATTTCTTTCAGTGCAGAAATTAAACAGACCTTGAACACCAGCAATACATTGAGCAATCTTCAGCTTTTATATTTCAACTGGCTTCCCTTCAGTTTTATTCACCACTCCTTTCCCCTCACCCCACTCAAACACAACAGATGTGTGGACAGAGATAAAACACCACACTGTTTACTTTGACCAAAAAAAAGAAACTTAGAAGAAAACAAGCAAGGGCGAGACGTACCTGCATTGGTCGCCTGTACTTCCTGCAGGCTGTGACATGAGCAATGACACTTGCATGAGTCTCTTTGCTGACATTAATTCCATTCACTTTGATTATGCACTGGCCAGGATGGAGGCCTGCCGCAGCTGCCACTGTTCCTATTAATAAAAATACACATAGTTAAACTTCTTTGCCTAAACATCTCCTTTAAAGTTTACAGTCCAAAAAGCCTCTTTTCTTTTTTTATCAAGACCTGCTCTCACCGATTCTTACGTACTTCTCTGACTACAGGGTGCTCCTGTAGTCAGCTGGACTCCAAGAAAAAGGAGTTTCCCAGCAGATGATTCCATAAAAACAGACCACACAATTTTCTAAAGCCTGTTTTATAAAACAAAAAATGTTGATAAGTAATATGAAAATATTGAAATTTGTCTTAAAGAAAATTTGTCTTAAAGAAATTAAAGGATAAAATGGCTCTAGCTTGAAAGTCATTAACTACAACCTAGATTACTTTTATTCTGAATTCTTTTACATGAACCAAGCTTATGAGCTTCTTGATTAATTCAGGTGTTTAAATTTTACATACAAAACAGAGGTTTTCTGACAATTCATAAAGAAGTATCAGAGCATACTAGATTTTCATGTTAAACATTAAGTTAAATATCCAAATCAAAAGACATTTCCAAGGATATTGTTCTTATTTTCATCTTTCCTACCAACACAATTATAATAGACTGCCTTGCAGCTTTAAGTCAAAATACACAAAGATAATTAAGTAGGAGATCTCAAATTTAATTACTGAGAGGGGGATGGGACAACACGACACCAAAACAAAACATTCTCTTAAAGTAACATAAAATACGTGTTTTGGTGATTTATTTTCACAATGGAATAACCACCCTGGGAAAATCTTCTAGCCACTGAATAGGTACTACAAAAACAGCAGCTGTCTCTTGCTCTTTTTAAGTGTGACTCAAACCCACACCTAAAAAGACAGCCTGATGGAGTATGATCCTAGTTCCAGCTACCTGAACATTTGCCTCCTTATGTCTCTTTTGATGCTACCACAGAGGTGCAAGACAGTAAAAAATCTATTGCCTAGAGACTGCCAGTCTGAGGAGCAGAAGCTAGCTGCTATGAAAGAAAGGGCAAGACCGAATTTGCAGAATTGACAAATGGAAAAGTTTGTCACAACTTCATGACTTGTCAGTTGGGCATTATTTGACAAAGAAATACTTCCAGAATATACCTGAATTTCCCTTGTTTTAGGAACTATCACCATTAGATAATATCTGCATTTCAAGTCTAATAAAAAAGAAAGTTGTTGGAAATGAAACCATAACCAGCTATTGCAATCTCCCTTCCCCCCCAAAAAAAATGTAAAAATAAATATCAAAATAGGCCTTATTAAATATCTTTCTCTAAAAAAAAAAACACTCTTCAAAATACCCCAAGGTCCCAATTCAGCAAAAGTTTTAGCATATGCTTAAAATCTTTCAGATTTAGCAAACCACACAAGCAAGCACTTGAATATTGTTGAGGCTGAGTGGAATAAAGTATGTGCTTAATGAATAAGGACAGGCAGTTGAATTGAGATCCAGGTGCAGAAATAATTATCACATCAGCTCAGCAGCCTGTACTCTATTAGTCTTTCTCTTGAAAATCTAATTTCTGGCACCACAGCCTAGAAAAAAGTCATCCAACTCTGTTCAAATCTGGTTGTTTGCAGATCGTTTCACTTTAAATTCCTCAGTTACAAAGGAAGGAGGAGGTAAAAGGATACAGCTTTCCCACAATAGATGAAAATACAGTTAGTTTGCTCTAGCATTAACAATATGAGATGCAACAGAGAATGCTTCAACTTCTTTTATCACAAGTCAAATATGTATTACACCATTCAAAAACATATTGGGTTAGGAACTGCAAGCATTTGACAATCACATCCCAAAATAAGACAAAACAGTATTTACGTGAAACATCTGTAATGACTAAGACAGACTAGGTCACTAGCAGCCTTGAAAAGATTTCTGAAAAGTGAATTTTCAGAACATTGCAGAACCAAATGGCCACCTAAGAAAGTAGTGCTCAGTAAGTGACTGGTTCCCAACAAGATCTATCCAAAGTTTACAGAGTATATGAACACAAAATAATCATATTGGGGTTTATTTATTATTGCTGCTTTGGGCGAAAAACATCTAAGCTGGATCAGTAGACCTAATTTTGATTTATCTCAACCAAGCCATTTAGATGTTAAATGCATATTTACCAGTAACACTGACAGCTCTTACAGCTTACCTCTCCCAACAGCATGGACAACTGATGGGCCAAAGCCCCGGATTTGGAATCCAAGCCCATCTGCAGAGTCAGGAATCTTCACTGTCCTGATACAAGGAAAGATTGAATATGAATGTAGCAAAAGGTACATATTGTTACTCAAGATAAAAGTAGACAGCTACAAGCAGATTACAAGGGTGTAAGACTCCACATTTTTATTCAATTCACAGTTTCAGATTCTGCAGCATTCATATTCCAGATACTGTTCACCACTGATATCAGAAATAAGAGAAAGCTGAGACAGCAAATAATATCTATTTCACAGGGAAATTTGATATACCAAGTACAACCAAAACACCACCATAGCTTTAAAATTCCTCCCAAAGGTTCTGGCATTTGGGTAAATTGCCACAGCACAGCAACACTGAAAGCCCCAAGAAGGCAGTCAGTCTCTCAACCAAGAGGCCAGAGCCTGGGGATCACAAAGCATGGCAGGTCTGGTCAGACGAGCTGCAGAAGAGCCTAAAACTCATATTGTAATTTGTTAACTTCTAAGTGTCTACTCAGTAAGTTTTCTGGAAAAAATGTTTTATTGCAGTTTTTCTGAGCAGCTATGGAAAGTACTAAGATTTGTAAAGCAAAACTCATCTACTGCTGTTCATATGACTTGTAAGCACATTGTGCTACACTCCTGCTTGGTCTAAACCTACCGAAAAAAACAGTTCTGAGAAGCAAAATTCACATCTACTCCTTAAAATTAAGCCCTGAGCTCACTCAAAGTAAGCTAGCTTACCCACATGGTATCAGCTCAGGATCTAGAAAAAGCAACACAGCTGCATTAGCCCTTATCAGAGCTAGTAGGGTCAGGCATAACAGTGCACTGATTTAACTTCACAGCTTTTCCTTCCAGAGACAGTTCCGTTATTATTTCAGAGATCTTTGCCCCGAGCTCCATTTGCCATTGCAAAAGCAAACAAATTCAAATTGATTTGGACTCTGACAAACTTGATTTACAGGCAGTTTTGACTACTATAATTGCATCGTTTCTTGCATTTCTTTTTTTTCCCTAGTATACACAATATCAAGCATTTGGAGATGATTATCATCAGAGTAGATCCAAAACTCACTGAAGTCTAAAATTTCTTTAAAATATTAGAATATTATTGAGATTAATAAATTTTCATTTGAAATATATTTGTAAGTATAGCACCATTTAATGTACTTACATATTAACTAATGTTGACACAACTGATATGTATTCTGAAACTGCTTTGTGAACACAATAATGAACTATGAAAGACCCTCACTGGTAGTTTAGGCTAAGAATTTAGTAGAAAACTGTCTCTTCTGTCAAAACAGTTGTGCTAGCAGCAGCTACTGGCAAACAGCAGGCAGCACTGAGAAACAGATTCTTCAACTCCTGCGAGCTCCTCGTTCATTTGATCAATTCTGTCAACCTTGAAATTCACCCACAAGTTCTGTCAGAAATTAAACCAAGATCTACACTAAAGAAAGGCCAAGATATGTCTTTTATTCTTGCTACAACACTATGGTCAACTTGTTTGGTATCACGGGTGGGGTTCGGCCCCGTGATCGACCCTAGCGCACATTTTGCATAGGAAACGAGTCCCCAGATAGGTGACTCACAAAATGGCTCTTTATTAAAACAAGGTTTCAGTTTATATAGAGGGTACATAGAAGGCTCTCGAACAAGGGTGGGATTCTTGCCAGGGGCACGAATCCTGAGGGTCAGAGATAAGGGAAGATGGAGGGATTGGCTGCAGGGATATGTCCAGCCATATAGGGAGATTTGGGAGTTAGGGAAGGAGGGGTAGGAATGGTGAGGGGGGCACAGATAGGGGAATTCTGCAGGGGTCTGTGGAAGCGGCGTCTTATCGCTGGATCTCAGGCGCTTCCTGCAGTTGCAGCTGTCAGAGCACCTCTAGATCGATTTCTTCCTCCGAGGTTTCTTCGCAGCCTTTCTGCATCTGTCTCCATTCTCTGTAGGCCTCTGCTGGTCCACTCCCGACAGTTTGGGGGACTTTTTTACTGTTATTTTTGTTTGGCTGGAGGAGGGGGTGGGGTGGTGGTGCTGGACTATCAGTCCAGATGAGCATCTTTATTTCTTTGCTCTTTTCCCCTTTCTGGGCTCTGTTTAACTTCTCAAGACAGCATTGCTTATTGACAGGAGAAGTACATCTCCATTCTACCACTGAACCAAAGGGAGGCACTCTGTATATGCTATCTGGAACAGAGCATGGCTCCTCTTTACTCTGCACGTTTCAATCAAAATTACTCCTGACCAGTGTTTCTTAGGTCTCCTCCTTCTTTGTTATGTATAAACTAGTAACAACTGCATTAATTTTATTAATATACATATTTACTGAACCCACACATTAGGCCTCACTTCGTATTCCTTTTACATAACAAAACTTGCATTTATGTAGGAATGGTCAAACCTGTGTACAGAAACGCATCTGTTATATAATGATGAGGTGGTGTTTACTTGCTCCTGCTGTTTACACAACCAGCATACACGCTGAAGGGACCCATTAGACCACAGTCTGACTATGCCAAACCAGCAATTAATCCCCAGACACAGGAACTTATTTAATACACACAGTGAGAGATAAGTAATCAAAACTGTCCATACAGTCAAGGACACTTCATTTGCACTTGCAATTCCTGCATGTATTTAAACTGACAGAGCTGAAGATCTAAAGTACTCGTGTTTTGCTTTTGCTGGCTCACAAATCTAATGCAACAAAATCTAAGCAGATCAAATTCCTTGACTTCATAAAATTAGTTCAGATACAGCATTTAAAATAACTTTGCAATAGTTCTCTCCAAAGTTCCACTGGTCTTTTAAAATTCACTTCAATTTTGTTTGTAAAATTTCCCCAAAGGAATGACAACTTACTCCCGTGGTTTAGTGCTCACAAGAACCCGCAGGGGCTTTCTGCTGTTTAAACACGCTTTCAGGAAGCAATCCACTTCACTGAAGGGTCTCAGAAAAACCAGGTCACCATTAATGGCAAAGATTTTCTTCCCAACTTCCAAGCCTGCCATCTAGAAAACAAAAACAGTTTATAATCACTAACATTATGTTTTCTTCTGCTGGCATGCAACCCCAGTAAGAATAATGACATGCACATTCACTTTACATTCTTTATGACTCCTTCATGTACTACACACAAAGGACTTTTACCACTTCTAAAACCGGTAAAATTGATGTGAAGGGTACAGTAAACACTCATTGTTAAGAGACCTAAATACAAGACTTAATCAAGATTTTATGACAGTATTACAATATCAGTTAATACTTTTACTAATTAACACAACAGCTTTGATTGAGCCATTTATTTTATGACGGTACTTAATTTGTTCATCCATCATTTTCCAAAGGAACTAAAGCTTCTTTTCACAAAGACAGACCTAATCAAAATTTTAGTGAATATTTGTTAAGTTCCAAAACAGAACAGTTTTTAAACTTTGGTGTAACAAGAAAGGAACCACAACCAGTTGAACGACAGGAGTGGCTCAGGGCCTTAGTGCCATCTAAGATCATGGCAGAACTGACTGCTGGAAATCACCCTATATAGCTCTGTGGCTTTATTATATTATTGATTTGCTGTGTCTATTTATAATTTAAATTTCTATTCCACCATGAAATTTAGAAAGCCTTGAAATCTAGGTCCAAATTTTTTCTCTCATGCAAGAGACTCGTTCTTTACATATCTAGGGACTCCTGTACAGTTCAGTAGAATATCAATCTACCCGAAGAGCATCTAAAGCAATACCAACAAAGAGGAAGACTGCAATTTATTCATTTAAATTCTCAAATTCTAGGCTTTATATAAAGCTTGATACATCTTTTACTATGAAACACATCAACTGCACCTCACAGACTAGCTCTATACTCATTTCACATTCTACCAAAAATGTTTATTCCACTCAGGATTAATGTCATCACTGGAATATTATAAAATGCATAAAAATAAAATTATAAATTTTATATCACTCAATGTGACAATTTAGCTGAGTAGAAAATAAGTGTTCATGGTCAGAGTAACGTGTTAAAAAAAAAAACAAAAACAACAAAACAAATCCAAAACCAACCAACCAACCAAACAACCAAAAAAAAAAATGGAAAAAAGGGAATAAGATTCATAAGTACAGCCTTCTTGGAAAGTTGTCACAGTTGTCACCTTCTACTGCTATAGACTTTCCTCTCTGATGCACAAAGCATACATCTGTGATCAAGGAAATAAAACAGGGAAGATAATTCATGGTACTCGATACCTCAGCATTTGATCCTTTCTCCACCACTTTAATAATCGGCACCTTATTTTTATCTTCTAAACCAAAACCATAGGTGCCTTCATTAGATGTAATCTGAAAAATAAAATTGTTTAAAATATTGTTCAGAAAGCCATTAAGAAAAGCTGAAGTATATCCTCATTAAATAAACAGCCCTAATTTATTGTCACTATGACCAATTTTTTTACTCATCAAAGCATAGAATCATTGGGTTTCACTCACCAGTAATGACTTGGCTATGACATTTTCCACTACTTTCAGATCATGTTTCATGAGTCTGTGCTTCATATTTGATCCTTCCATTTCTTCATCCGCATAAAAACGGAACAGCAGTGGTTCATCTTTAAATTCACTTTTCTCTAAGACTGTGTGATAGAAAACCACACATATTAGTCCTTTTTCAATTTTGAACTTTTGAATATCATGTCTTTCATAAGCCATAAAATACTGAGCATGCATACCCATACTGAATGCTAGCAAACTATTTTTGTGTGTTTGTGTGAATCCAGGGAAATCGTTTAACATACTCAACAATTGTTATTTGGATCTATTACAGATAGGTATCTCTAATCTCATTTTTCAACAAAACATCTGGATTCCACCATGTTTAGAAAGCCTATTAGCTTGAAATCATTTTAGTAAAAATGCAAAGTGCAAGGTTTCTTCCTAAAAGGGATTTTAAAATATGATTCTGAAGAGTTCTGCTAAGCAGCTGCTGAAGATGCTCTCCACCAAGTTCTGGCACTCTCCAGATGGTGAAGCATGCCAGGTTCAGTCTCAGAAATAGGTTTGGTGGGGATGAGGAAGCAACCAGAAGAGCAGATGGATGCAGCTGGTATGTTTAAAAGTCAAAGGAATAAGAATGAACAATACCAGAGCGGATGTTAATTTTCCCTCCTTCTCTAAACAGGCTGATAAAAACATAATTCCTTCTATAATTCCTTCTTCTTTTAATTTCAGTAAATGACCTACTACTTTGATCCTTTCACTGAAATCTTGCCTTTGAGGGTATTAAATGGGACCTTGTTCACCTCATTTTTGGTGCTGCACACATCTCTGCTCTCCTCCCTCTTCTTTGTTCACTGCTATCCTTATGATTTTCTCATTTTCCTCCAGTCCACTTTGTCCTATTATGACCACTTCACTTTTTTAAAGTCACACTCCTCCATACTTTATTCTTTCCCCCAAAATGTCACACTTCTTTCTTATATTTATCCTAACTTTTTATTGTTTCATCTGTGCAAACATGTATTACCTGCTAAGAAATTTCCTGCCAAGTGACTAATAGAACTGCCCCAGGTAAATCCTTTAGAATATGAATTCCTCAGGAGACGACATAAAATTGGATATAACTTTCGAAGTATACAATAGCTAATCTTTTTCCTGATGACTGTGGCACAGGCCTCTTCAGTGATACAATAGAAGAATTTTTCATCTGTGCTGTAATATCTTTATCAGCACCTGCATTTCCTTCCAACTATGTAGATAACATTAAAAAGAAAGTAAGCACAGCTTGTACAGAGTGTATTTACTTACCATGATGCATAAACCCATTGTCACAAAGAGCCACACCAAATATCATAGCTTCCTCCCTTGTCCGGCAATCCCCCTGTTAAACCATAGAATAATTTTTTTAATATATTTTAATATAGCAGGAAAATGGAATCTGTGCACAATGGCATAATCTCACAGGGATGGTAATTGCTGTAGATTATATTTATCAGTAACACCTTTATATATCCATTTCTAGAATACATACATAAAACAATATATACACGTTGATCATACAATCAGAGAATAGTTTGGGTTGGAAGAGACCTTGAAGGGCTCTAACTCTTTACACTTTGAAATAAATAGGTAAACATTTAAGTAACACTGCATAGTCCAAAAAAACTGAATGTAATAGAATCTAAAAGTATAAAAGTTTTAAAATTTAATTTTATGAAACTAGTGCATGTTGACAGAGTGAACAGGACACCCTGTTCTTGCTTGCTTCTAGTCCATTTAAAATAAAACAGAGCTGCTGACAGCAAATTGGTACTGACTTTTGTCCATCTAGTTACTCATTTAGAGTTCTTCAGAGCCTATTCCTTTCATTGTAAGCCATGAACAGTGTTACATGCTGAATCATAAAGCTAAGTGTCATTAAAACATTTCAAGTTCAATTGCACATAAAGAAGTTAAGCACAAAGAGAATTAACAGCATGGCTGCTGACAGCTGATTTCTGTTATTTTACCAGTGTAAGAGGATTACACTTACACATACTGTTCTAACAACCCTTACACAAAGTGTTTGCATGTTATTCTGATTGATTAATCGCTAGCTTTCAAATTAGAATTTAAATGCACAATATACATAAATCCAAAGGTGTACACTTGCCTGTGCAATCAACCAATCTATGAATTTGTTAGCCATAACCACAGATTTGTAGGTTCTCAAGTGATAATCTTTATCCCTGTTCAAAACAATACAAAACAATTTAAAAAAATAAACAAATAAAAACTCAAAAGAAACAGAAAAATACTTGTACATCATAAACAAGTTAGTGCAAGCATGAATTGCGAATTTTGTAACGGTTCAGAAGTTTCCTCTGGAGGAAAAAAGCAAATTAAACTTTTCAATATAAACACAAAGGTAGAGGCTGACCACATCTTACTTGGGTGACAATGTCACTGGAGTATAAAGGCAGGTGTGTTGTTACATCTGGGACTCCCCAGATAAGGTAATGGAGTGTAAGTGAAAGTGTAAGTGAAGGAGTGTAGTAATATATACAATAAGCATATAAGCATATCCATCAGGACTAGAAGGCTCTGGAAGCCTGTTGAAAAAGTCATATTGAGAAGAGTTGGTAGTCACTTAAGGATTCAGACAAAAAGTATTTTTGTCTTCAAAGTCCTTCAATCTTATTTAAGTTCTCTCAAAAGACCAATCTTGAAGACATGGGTTAGGTTCCCCCATTAAAACGCAGAATCTTTATATTATATACTACTTCCAAATGACTCTCTAAGGATTTCACAATTGGACTCACCTAATTACTGGGGTAAAGAGACTGTGAAGGCGACAGTACAGTCGTACACCCTGTTAAAGAGAAAGAGGTGCTGTTAACCCATGTTCACATCACACAGTACATAAGAGGCATGGGCACAGTAAGGAAGCCTATATGTTGTAAATGCACTTCATTTACATAAAGAGTCTGTTCAAGTTTTTTATGTATTTTCATGTGCCAAAACGTAATGTCTCCAGATAACAACATTGGTGAATAAATTATGAGAAAGAAAACATGTCTAGTCTAATCTAAGCTTCACTGAGACACATGCAAAAAGGATTAGCTTTAAGGTAGCACTAAAAATTTCTGAAGGTTTGAAATAATTTGAAAGTACAGAAAAGTACACAAAAGTGTACAAAGAATAAAACAATGTCTCCGTGCATTAGGGTTGTCCCAAATACTGGTTGTTACTCTACACACAACTGAGTAATTACAGTAAAAAATACTGTATTTTATATATATGTATAATACCCTAATGCAGACATTTTTGACTGACTCAAACCATGAAAAATTTGAATATTAATGAGTTTAAAGGCAACTTTGATCAATCTTTTCATTATGCTCAGTAGTAGAGATGTATAATACTACCTATGTGTGTTTAAACATCTCCATGACAATAGATTTACTGCCTTGTTAAGGCACTAATAAAAGACATTCAGTTATAAGAGAAATTTAAAATCAGTTCCTTACACATAGTTTCGTATCTATGAAAATGGACTGAAAAATATAACAGACTGGAACATCAGCTTCAGAATCCGCCACAAACCTGGGCAATGCATCCTTCATATGAAACCACTGAATAATAACTATAAATAAATAATAGTAATCTTTCATTTTTTATTTAAAATTTATAACAAGAAGCCAAAATCTTACAAATTTTGGCTTCTTGTAAACTGTGAGAGGATTTTGTTTATTCCAGTATAATATTTTACATTATTTTTCAAGCAGAGCCTCCACTTCTGACGTGTTGTTCCTAATAATAGCAACCATTTCATTCTGTACCTTAGAGATCACATCCTGCATCTCATTTCTGGGGTAGTATGTTCCATCATCATATCGGAATCTATATAGCATGTGTTCAGGTTTGAATTGGTGCTTATCTGTAACTAAATTTAAAAAAAAAAGAAAGAGTATTGTTTGATTATTTTCTGAAGAAATCAACAAGAGAAGAAGGTCAGCATCATTTCTTCTAATAACAGCCCATTACACAGCAACAGGTAAGACTTCAGACAGGAAGGGCGGGAAGCCCAATTAGATCATCTGCCCTAAGTTCCTTTACGTCACTGGTGACATTATTTCTTAGAACATTTAAGTAGTAAAAAAAAAAACAATTTCAAGTCACAGGGCAAAGAATAAGGAAGACATACATACAGGGAACTGTATGAAATTTAGGCATTCAAATCTTTCTAGGCCTCAGCGCTTTTGCAAAGCTTATCAACCAAATATCCAAATTAGACTTCTTTTGCAACTATTCATATTATTATTACACATTATTTTCTGTCCTCATTCTTGTCGAGGTCAATCTGAAATGATTAACTAAAGATATGAATCCTTCTCAACACATTTGACCAGTCCTGAACTGGGGAAAAAAGGGAATGTCTTCCCCTATATATAGACAGGCAGAGATTCTAGTTGCAAGAGACCAGCAATCATTACAAAGATTTTGATAGTCTATTTCCCCAAAGACCCATGAAAAAGAATCTTATCAAGTGGATTTCAACTGTTTCACTGGATTCCAGCAGCAAACCTCAAAACTTCAAGTGTTTTGTCAAAACAATCATATCATAGGATACAAAGCTTCTCCTGGAAGTAGTACTACTGCAAGTCTTTCTGAAAAACAGCCGATCCATTTGATGGCTGAGGACAGCATTAGGCACTAGCACCATCCTAGGATAATTTTTTTATTAATTATAGCTTTGCTTGCAGCTGTAAGCTTTAATTTTGAAACTAAATTTACATGTCATCAATTGATAAAGAAGGGCACTGTAATGTGTTCATTAATCAGAGTAGCACACCTGACAGCGTTAGGTAATTCTGTGCATGCCACTGTACATCAAGTGATTAAGCCATCATACATAACTCTCCTCCAAAAACTTAGGCATCATAAACTTTGTAGAGTAAGGTGCCTTCTGTCTGTGTCATTTTTCACGCTCCTTTAAGCTCTTCATTATCTCCACACAACATCTGACACAGAGACATAAAAACTGAACTTCATATATTAAGTGGTTTCACCAGTGTCATGTTCAAGAGGAAAATAACTTCTCTACGTGCATTTGATATATCTGCTAATAGGAAAGCCCAGGACACTATTCCAATTGCCTTGAACTGATAGTTCATGCTAAGGTGATTATCCAAAATAATTTCTAAGCTTTTTATGTATCATTGCTTCTAAATATATCAAATATAGACTACAAAATTTTCATATTTTCACATATAACATCTAATGTAAATATCTAAATGGATTTTAATGGACTGTGACCATTTAACTCGGGGAAAAAAAGATATCTTATAGTTCTGCAATTAAAAAAAAAAATCTTATGGTTGAAATAAAAATATATTCCACTAGATTAACACAAATTAAGAGTTTTTATAACCAACAAGCACTGAAAATTGAGAAAAAACACCAGGACAGTTTTGTCTATTGCCAAATTGTTCGTTATTGTTACAGGGATGCACTGGGAGCTAACTGGGATCACGAAGCACCTTTCCTTTCTTGCATGTCCACAGTGAACAGAGCAGGTTATGCCCTTTGAGTACCACTCTGTCTTTGCAGTCCTGACTTACCAGAGTGCACCAGAAACTAAGGCAGTAGCTTCACAGAGCTGGCACATCCCGAGTTTCAAACACTTAAAGCTGATGAAAGGGTGTATTACCACTAAAATAAGAAAGCCCAAGTTGGCTTGCATATCCCTTCCAACACTGTAACTACATTTATGCGGGGATATATATCTGTATGGCACAGACTAAGAAAAAGGAACAGATCTGGTCTTTTCATTTACTTTTTTGCCAGTGTAATTTTAAACCACATCAGTACATCAGACCAAGAAACCGTGCAGCCACATAAATACTTATTAGTTTTAAAACTATCTCATATTCAGTTTATTTTTGTAACTACAAAGGTCCTTCCTACCTTGACACAAAGTTTCCATCTCTAATTATCATCAGCAAGTGACTGGACCGAGTTCTCAGCCCACTGACTGATACAAGCTATTTCAGATATCAGAGAATTCCACCAGGTGGATTTAAAACAGCAGCATAGCAAGACACAACAAGATTTTTCCCCTTATACAAAGTGGAGGGGTGGTGGGGGGAAGGAAAAGCCATAACTTTTCTATCTGCAAGAGTTCACACACCAGAAGGTAAAACAGTTCCCATCACAACACGGTTCTGTCATTGCTAGAATGAACTCCAGCGCAGTGACAATGATGGCCTAGTGAATACGCAAACTCTAACAAAGGCCTCTATAATATTTGCAATGTAAATAACAGCCAAACTTTCTTTCTCCCTTGCTCCCTCTGTGAAAACAGATGGTTCATTCAACTCTATTTTAAGAATGCTATTTTCAGTGAACCACAGCTGGATCCACTATTCAAAGTAGCATGTCTGGCTTACATTTCTATGCTCTAATATAATTACCCTTTTATCTCATGAAATTACACAATATTCATTTAACTCTGTATTGAGAAAGTCTATCATTGCATTTAGGATATAAATTACAAAATCAGGAGAAGAATCTGGCAACTAAATGAAACCATTGAAAACAATTCTCTGTGTGTAGTAAACATAAAGGCATCTGACATTTGAATGATGGTAGAGGAAAATCATGTAGACTGACACTGAAGAATTAAAAGCTACATGACCACTGATGAATAACCTTAATGATTTTCCTCCTACTCTCCATGTGTTTAAAACAAACACAGCTAAGTGGCACTATGTTTCTTCCACTTTCTTTCCAGTCAAGGACACTAAAAACATGATTATTAATCAGTAATAAATTCATTTCTGGATGGAGTATAGTAGTGTACTAGATGGACTTTTAGAGTGTATATTACCAATGAATCCATCTAAATTTACACCCTGGATCTATGATGGAACAGTAGCTAAATGACAGCTGTTTCATCATTTGGTTTTTAAGTGACAGTACCTATTATATGCCAAATATGCCTTCAAAACTGGAAGTTTCTCCAATTCATTTATACAATCCTGTTAGACTACACCTTGTAATAGGGACAGAGATGAGGACCTGCTCTGGAAAGAGAAAAATGTTGCCAATGCAAATTACCTGCAGAAATCAAACATTCTTGTTGGCTTAAAAAATGAACCATTTGAGAGATACTTCTCTCCACAATGAGCTAAATGCAGACAGTTGACTTAAAGTTTCAACATAAAAATATAAATTTTAATAACTATACAATGCAGTGAAAAGAAGGCCTTAAAATTCGAAAGATTAAACTGTTGGGTTCTAGGCTGGATTCCATGAGCTTGAGCTATAATACCTTACAGATGAGCAGGCACATTTATCAACAGCCAACTGTGACTCACTCTCTTGTACAACTCTTAGTTGAACATGTATCCCTAAAATGCCTGGCCTTAAAAAAGGTTAAAATCCTTAAAAGCAGTATACTGTTCTGTGTTCCCCCAGAATTTATTTTTGCTTACAAGAGAACAGCAATGTTTCTCTAGGTCCCTGTTTTCAACGTTGTGATCCCAACAGCATAGAGGTAATGTGATTAAATCAATGAAGCTTTTCCCAGTAAATCTGCTATGCATGGACAATGGGCTCATGAGGTCCCTGGAAGGACATAATGCAGATTCAACAAGCTGTCTTGCGTTAACAAGACCATATTTTTGTCAGATGAAATTAAGTCCACTCTAATTACAATAATTATCTTGAAAAGAAGTAATTTAAAACTGACTATATTTACCATGATGGATAATGCCATTCTCTAATAAAGCTTGGCCAAGGTGAACACCTTCTTCAGATTTGTGTATCTCTCCAATTTCCAACAGCCAGGACACAAATTCACTGAAATAAAAAGATACAGAAAACAAACCTTACAAGTCATACCACCAAACCTATTGCATTTCCATCTCCATTATTAGTGTTTCTAACTAGTCTATGTCAACCAGTGAATGATTTTTAAGCCTACTGATCTTCAAATTATTTCAAAAAATCCTTTATTTTTATTTAAACACATATGGTTTCCCATGAGATTTTTTTTTTTTCTACTCAGAAGTTTTCCATGCATAAAGTTTACCTGGCACATAGTGAAGACTTTCCATGTTTTCTGGGATTTCCTAAATTAGCATAGCCACACTGGACCAGACACACCAATATAAGGCAATCCCAGACACACCTACTGCACCTGCCCAGGACAGATATGTCACGATGACAGACCACAACCACAGTGTGGCAGAACAGTAGGCTTGTTGCTTCCAAGGTGTGTCTGACAGGGCATCCTGAGCATATACACAAAGCAAATACTTCATGTGTAGGAAATGCCTGCCTTGTATCACAGTAAAACCGATGCAGTTCAGAGACATCAAGTTTATAGCATATGTGTAGGTTACATATCACAAGTGTAACGAGGTAGCGCACCCTTCACAGTCACGGGTGACCCAGGGGCCAGCAGGAGAGTGTTCGTCAAAAGTGTCCACTCCAAACACAGCACAGAACAGCAGCATTTGATGATAGGTTTAAACAGCTCCTCACCTTGAGTGTATTTTTTACCTGCTTCCAACAACTTAACCACCTTATGGTCGAACGAAATAAGTGATAACCCCTTTTTTTCCATATACACATTTTTAGGGTATCTATCTCTTTCATTCAGTCTTAAGCTGTAGGTATAATGCGGCATTATAAAGATCCCCCTGATAATACTGGTAAATTTTTAAACACATAAACCTTACTTAGTAACTCTGTTCCTGACATTCAAGCAAGAGGAGGATAGGAGCAGTTTTAGAGACAGAGACTGTTCAAAGTGGAATAAATAATAAATAAACTTTACATTCCAAACTAGTCATTACAGAGACAAAATGCAATAAATAAGTCAGGAACCATTTTTTTAAAGAAACTAATTCACTTGAGGCTCTTCCATATTTTCATCACGCCTTTGCAGGCTTTTCTCTTTAACAGAACTACTTTGCAATACAAGTATATATTCATAAATCTCAGGCAGACCAATTTACATTTTGGCTAAACTCTGTGAGACAAATAGGCCTAACAGACATTGCAAATGAAGCGTGGTTTCCACAGAATCCCAAAGAAGATTTAAAATGTGTTTTTATAGGGTAAAAATTCATGCTATCAAATGCATGTAATACCTTCCAAGAAAGCATTTGGGAAAAGTGGTTAATTTCCTCTTCCTGTCTTTGATGAGATTCCCTTGTTTGCACATCATTTTGTACAGTCTTTCTCCTTGCTCAGAGATCATCACCCAAGTGTCCTGTTCCATGCCCAATTTTAAACCTGCCAAAAATGCATTAAAACTTTATGAAGTGAATTGCCATTATATTTCAGTATCTTCCCCAAAATGGAGAAGCAATACCAAAGTTTTTAATACCAAAAAAAAGTAAGGGAATTGTTTTCCATTTTTTTCTTATAATCAAGTTAAACTATGAACATCTAATCCTCATAAGGCATAACCAAAAGATATTTGAAAGCCTCTTATAGTGCAGTTAAACTGTTACTCATTCAACATCACCACTGATTTTTTATTAATAAATACTAAGCTGTGATTTTCAGATTTCAGTATATGAACACTTGCAAGGCGGTATTCATGTCTTCACACATTTAAAATAAAAGAAGCTTGGTTTTGTTTTTATCATGCAATAATAAAAACGTCTTCACTTAAAGGAATATTTTTCAAATTTGCAATTAATAGTAACTAGTTAACTGTTATACATACATTAGTTTCACATAAGATTAATTCACCCCTTTTCCACAAAAGCATATACATGACTTGATTTTTATTTGCTTCAGAATTTTTTCAACAATGGAAAGCTATCAAGGGTTTTAGTTCAATATTTTTTACAGGTTTATTTTTTTCCTGTTTATCTTCTTGAAAAAATCATTATGTTTTCCAAGAAACAAATGATCAAACCCAGTTTTTGTTGAATTATTCATCCTATGGCCATTCACAGAAGTTTGTGTTCAAGGAATACTGCAGACTTTCATACCCCATATGCTTTCTCGAAAAACAGTTATTAATTCTGGACAAAAGCACACATTTCTTGGATGTCTTGTGCACACATTCTCAGTTTCTGTTCAGATTTTCACCATTTTTAAACTATAACTGTACATATAACTGTACAGGTGACAAGTAGTGTCCCTCAGTGCTCTGTCTTCATCAATGCTCCTGTATCTTCATCAATGACATAGACAGTGGTATTGAGTGCACCCTCAGTAAGTTTGCAAATAACAGGTGTTTACAGGAAAGGCACCGAACTGACAGAAAGACTTCTGCAAAATTTTCCAGTTCAGCTTGATTTCTCCTAGCAAGAAAATACAATCTATGAAGAGGTCCTAGTTTGTAATTTAATTACCAAAGCTGAAAACTAAATTACTTCATTCTCTCCTTTTAGCTCAGCTTCTGCTGCATGGATTCCAAATAAAATCACAGGCTGAGATTCTCTAAGTCCATTGAAGCTCTGAGTCTTCCAACTCATTTGTTTTTGGAGATTCTGTGTTGCAACCTGAATCTACGTGTGTCCCAGATCTTCTCTTTGTTTCACAGTTGTCTCCTTGGTGGCAAACCCACTGAAAACATCAGGAGCTGAAAATTTCCACAAATTTTTAGAATGCTAAAATCCTAAGACATGTCTTGGCTTCTGCATAGCTACCTCAGACCTCAAGCTTGCCAAGGTTTAGCTCAAACTCATCCCTTCTACCAGCTGCTCAGTTTATTAGTGCAAAATAGCAAGAATTCATCAACATAAAGTACTCCTACCTAATCTTTGTATTTCTTATCTGAGATACCAAGATACAGGAGCCAAGAAACTTAACAGTGAAGTTGAATTTACTGAAAACATTTTAGTTGGTTCCTAACAAGGCCCAATACAGAAGCAGACAAACCTGAGTTTTGTTGTATTTGACACCACCTCTACCACATTGCTTTCTCACTTGTTATTTTAAAAATGTTGAGGTTTTAGCACGTTAAAGCTTTTTTTTAGCTTTTCTGCTATTTATTCCTGGTGACACTATTAATTAGTTAGTGCTCAAATACCCTATTTGAAACTCTGGTCCTACAACAGATGTTCTACAAGCATCCAGAATTGAACTTTAAAAGACCAAAGAAAATAATGTTGGTCTCCATTTACAACAGAGGCACAAAACAACATTTACTGCAACAGAAAATCTACACAAATCAGGAAAAGCATTACAGACTTAAATACAAGGTCATATTTTCCTTCAATATCAAGGCTCCAAACTACATTACTAATATGGATATTTTAGCTTGCAAATGAAATTAGCTCCAGAAAATTACGATGTGTCATCTTTCCCTGCTTCTACTTTGTGCTGAGTTCACCTTGAACACATGAAGTTATTCATGGTCACATTTGAGATCAGGATTATATTTCATCCAAGTATTCTTCCACCTTAATTCAGTTATTCAAAAAGACAGTGGTTTGCCACTGGAGATTTCTTAATTTCTTTGGTAGGGTTGTGGGTACGTTCTGCACCATTTCACTTTGGATCATCTGCCTTAAAATCCAACACCGAAAACCTGCTCATTTCAGTGATTCAAATGGCCAGTCACAAATGGAATCAATGCATAAAAATCACACGAGGCATCTATGATGGACCCTCAGATACCACAAACCATAATATTACACAGGCCTCAACTAGTTTTTGACAATTTATACTGGTTGAGGATAAGCTATAAAATCACAGGGTAAATCATCTACCCATTTCCAAAACAGTATTCAATACCAGCATGCATGATTCAAGACATAAAGCCCTTCCTAGTACAAGCTTGATTTATTTTTCCCTAGCTGTTATTCATAAATCTTCAGCTGAATCTGACACCACAAGTTTGCCTACCAGCTGGTATTCTTTATATCTCAACATAAAAATACAGCATGGCTTTCTGGCAAAGCAACACAAGGAAGTTTATTAACCTACCTTTTCTTCTCTCTCGCTCTTTCAAAATAGCTTCCAGCCATTCTTGCTTCTCTTCAGGGGTTTTTGCCATGCATACAAACCACTTATTCTTTGCCGTGTTGTGGATCTTCCAGCCATTAATGACGGTGTGGCCACTGCTGTGGTAGTCAGCTGGGAATAGATAAAATGGCTCAGAGACTACCAATTCTTACAAAAAGTAATAGATGTTACAATTACTAAGAACTCTCAGTACACATGAAGCCCAGGACATATAGAAGAATAAAAATTAATTTCAAGTTATCTGTGCCAATTGTGAATTATGTTATAACTTAATAAACTGTAGTTTTATCGTTTAGTAAATAATGTCCTTTGTGAAATGCAACAGAGAATTGCATAGCATATGGAAGAAGGTATAAACTTGACACTAAAACAGGCAGAGTCCTATTAAAACAACAGATAACGGTATTTAGAGTACTTCTGCTTGTGTTAAACTGTAATAAATAATTCCTTAAACAAACAGCATTGTGGTTTTGTCCCTTAAGTTGCTCAGAGCTGCCATGCTGATTGAATGATTTACTATTAAGTTTAAAAAAGGACTAAATATACAGGGGGTAAAATACAATTTCAATTTGACAAGTAACCAAATCACATATATTTGATGTATTTTAACTGGTTACCCAAATAAAAAAATATCTACACTTACTAGTTTAAACTAACTGAAATATAATACAAGATGTTCTTTGATTTAAAAAAACTCCACATTAACCAACTGCATAATTTTTGAAATATGCAATAATTTGAAATAATTTTTTTAAACAGCCCTATGTTCAGTGTGCACATTGCAGGAGAGATAACAGCTGCTGATGTTCTTAGGTATCTTGAACTTCTGACTCTTAACATGTAAAAATAACTATGATATAAAAATCAAACCCTTATTACTTACTACTTATTACTTCTATAACATTCTATTTTAATATGCTGGTCCATAAATCTTATTCAGAAATTCCAAAATTCACACCCCTAACTATCCTTCACTAAGATTACCCACATTTCCTGGGGGAAAATGGGAGTCGTAAATTCCTTCTGATAAGAATTTTTTTTTTTTTTCATAAAATACAAACTAAAAAAACTAAAGCTAGCAACTACCATATGAAGTGTTTAGAAAAACCAAAGGTCAATGTTTTCTCACCACAAACTTTCATTAAGAGGCAAGAAAGTCCTAGGGCAAGTCCTGAACTACTATAACTGCAAAGCTTTTCGTTTTGTAAGTACTTTTTCATAATTCAGCCCTATTTTGTATGATGAGATGGGATTTTCTGAAACTGAAACCCTTGCTGAAATGCTTGCTAAGATTTATCATAAATCTCAGCAGACATGCTAGTATCCTTTCAATAACTCTGCATTTTAATTAGATGGAAGGCAGCCAAGCTTTGTGTACTGGGCTGGGAAATGTCAGGAACTACTAGAAAACCATGAGACTGATGGCTAATTTCTAAACCAACAAAACCTTCTACTACTCGAAGCATGTAAGAAAGTGCAAGCAAGTCTGTCAACAGGAAAAAATGAAGTAAAGGTATTTTTGCAACATCATGTTTATACCACTTATCTTTTGATCATATTTTTATTTGTATAGCCTATTCAGAATATCCTTTGTCCCTTTAAAAACATGGTTTCTTGAAAACTACCATCACACTTTTTAAGCACTCTCAGAAAATCAGAGTCCAAAGTCAAGGGAAAAAATGGCTCATCCAGACCACTGAATGTAAAGGAGACTTTTTAAACACACAGCTTCCTTGGTCTCTGAAGATCTTTAACTGCAGGGCCAAGAGCACTGGCAGTTTGACCACATTTACCTCATGCCACTACAAACTCACTGAATTTTGTGAAAAGCCCAATCACCAAGCTAGGTATCTTGAACTTCTGACTCTTAACATGTAAAAATAACTATGATTTAAAAAATCAAGCCCTTATTACTTACTACTTATTACTTTTATAACATTCTACTTTAATATGCTGGTCCATAAATCTTGACTAGGTACTATGACTGCCTCATGAGTTCAGGTGGAGGAAGGCGTGTAGCTGTCGCTTAGTTTTGCAACAATAAACGACCACTGTGACTTCAGTCTCTGCCTTAAACTGCAACACCCCTGCTTTCTCTTTTGCTCTGCATGCTCCCCATGACTACACTCCTCCAAGGCTCCCATGAGAAATTTGTTCTCCCCAGTACAGCCATGCCCGTAGTCAAGAACATTTCAGCATTACACTACCATCCCATAGAAACTCCTACCTTCTTTGGACTTTTTGGACAAAATCTGGTCAAGAGCTGCAGACGTGCTGGCTGGCCAGCCAGGAGGTGTGCATATTCTGACTGGTCAGCTGCACAGCACATATGTGCACTCTTCACATCACATCAATCACAGCTGCCAGGCAAGTTAAGCAAGTAATTTGTAAACCTGACATAATTGTCACAGAAGGAAGAAGAGCATGAGACTTCAATCGCTCCATGCAAAGTCTGAACCAGCATGATCAACAAATCATTAAGCCTACAACTTCCCCAGAAAATGTGACGAAAGATGACATCATCTTTTAATGTTACTTGGTGCTTGTAATTTGAACTGTAATATATTTTTCAAAATTCAAGACTCAAACATTTGAGTGACGCATAAGAAGCAATTTTTTACAGCCATATACAACAGAATTTTCTTCTTCCCTTAAAAGAACAAACAGAAATCTCCGTATTGAAGGACTTCTAAATTTCTCAGACTTGAGGTTCTTGGGAGCATCAATGCTCAGAAATACCAATGAAGTAATTGCTGCACAATATCAACTGCCATTCTCCTATGTACACTTTTCGAAGCAGTTTCTAGTTACCATTATCATTTTCTACTTTTTCTGTATCATGCCTCATTTCAAGACAACAGGGGACAGAACTATTATACTATAGCAAACATAAATCTGATATTTCCTAACTCTTAAGTGCTTTTCTTCATAAACTAAATAACATTAATTTAATGGCTGGTGAATGCCTCCAGAAACACATTTTTCTTTCAAAACTGAATTTGAAAAACTGCTACAGAAAAAATACCATTACCATATATCCATCTTTCTAATACTTGCAAGTGGCTATGTAGCCACATCGTTTTAAGATCACAAATACTCTACCCTGATAACTAATATGCATTCCACTTTAATCAGTGCAATTAGGAAAAAGCAGAGTGCATCATGGTGCTGTAACAAAAAAAGAAAGCTCACACCAACTGTACTGCTCAGCCAAGGCATAATTTCATCAAAGAAAAATTGCTTTTCAGAAAAAGCTTTGTTAATTTCTGTAGGCATGTCATTAGCATGATAATAAACCACACTGGGGATCTGTTTTCCTATTTCTATGCTTCTACTTACAAACAAGGAAGACTACATTCCTATATCTATCAAGGCTGAGAGCAAATGCTCTCACTTTGCCCTGTTTCCTGGAGCCCTGTTATATAGAGAGACCTTTATACAAAGTGAGCAGGGGATCCCAAAATCTACGGTAAAGAACTGTAGAAGTATCACCTAGACTCAGTAGTCTTTAATGTCTGTAAAGAGCCCCATATAGAGTACATGAGAAAGGGTCCTGCACAGATGTGAAAATAGAAGCACTCTGCACTCAGAGCTTCCACTCTAAATTAAGAATCATAGAAAGTAATAGGCAATAGATGATTAAGGAGAATAAAATAATGCAATACCATGCAAAGCTAATGTGAATGAGGCTCCATATTGCTACGCTTGGGAATGCAATAAGGCAAAAAGAAAGCAGCAGAATAGTACTGGGTTACAGTTCAAACAGAGATGACTACAGGGGATGAGAAACAAGACATCTGGGTCTAACAAATGAGAACAGTAAAGAAAGCACAACTCAGGAAGGTTAAAGAAGGGCATCATGATCTGAGTGAAAGAAAAAATATCAGTGTGAGGAGAGGGAATACACAAGTACCAGAAGGAAGGAGAACACCATGGGGGTTAAATAAAAAGCAGGAGGGGATGACAAGAAAAGGGTAGAAAGGTGTTAAAGTGTCACCTTTCAGAGAAATAAGACAAACATTTCCATATTTCAAAGAGAACCATGAGAAGGAGGGATGAAATAGAAGTAATTACAAGGAAAAATATATTTCAGTATATTGGAAAAAATTGAAATGGAGAAAGCGGAAAATGTGGTGATAAGTTAAAAAAAACAGATAAGAATAATCATAGAATCATACAATGATTTGGGTTGGAAGGGAACTTAAAGATCACCTAGTCCAATCTCCCTGCAATGAGCAGGGACATATTTAGCTCAATTAGGTTGCTCAGAGCCCCGTTCAAGCTGATCTTGAATGTTCCCAGGGATTGGGCATCCACCAACTCTAATAAGCTAGAAATCAAATAACCAAACCATTAACTGATGTTTTAGAAGTGTGGAAAGGAGTGTGGATTTTGGAAATAATGTACATATAACAGTGACAGGATTTGCTATGGCTTAGGAGAGCAAGTGGGAAGGAAGCAGCATAGCCATGAGGACTGTGTGCAAAGCTATAGGAAATGGGGACAGTAGCAAAATTTCCTGTGGCTGGAGGAAATTATACTCCTGGTGTCTGGAGTGTAGAGGAAGACTATTTGTGCTTAGGCAAATTATACTGATGATTCACTGAGAAAGAAAACAAATGGGCAGGAAGGAAAATGAGCAGTGTGAAAGAGATCAAGGATTGGATAGCTAGAACAAGTAAATGTAGGACAGATTTGAGAAATACAGGATAGTCATGGAAAGAAGATCAAAGAAACATTTTTTAAAACCAACATTAAAAATGTGGCAATAGGCAGGCTGGAATCAGTGAAAGAAGAATAGTTACAGAATTCTTGGAATATTCATCAGGAAGAAGATGGTGGGTATAACCCTCTGTGGCCACAGTAACATCAAGAGTTACAAGCAAAGAGATGCTGTCTTAGAAAGTGACATAATGCAAGCAGGGAAACTGCCTTTTATTTCTAAAGCATATATAAGGAAGATGAATGAAAATACATTAAAGGGATTCAAATAATACACAACAAGAAAGAGTGAAACACTCAACTCTCTTTTTTGCATAAACAAATTACTGAGATGTTAAACAAATAAAGCCAAAAACTGGGCAGGAATATAGGCCAGAAAAGGCAAATAGCAAGATACAGAATACTGAACAAACTATATTCAAGTCAATGAGGTTTGAAGAAACTCCCTACAACGTACCCATGGAGAGCTTGAAATCACTAACTAAATTGGTGGGCCTGGTGAAGGACGTAGCCCAAAACAGATGTCAAGGAGTTCTTACAAAAAATGTCTGGGAAGCATAGGTAATGAATCAAGTGTGGCACCATAGTGCTCTACCTTATGTTCAGCATTTTCCACTGTTTTTACCAAGACCTTAAATGGTTCAGTAATAACATTGTTTGTTCATGGAACTAAGAAAAGAAGCATTGCAAAAGCTTTAGGGAACAAGATACAAACTCTGAATGCTTAATATATTGTAGAAGTAGTAAGATAAAACTCAGTACAGAAAAGAAGGTACTTAATTGGACCTATTCTCAGACATTAACCCAGCATAAAATACAATGGAATAGGCACCACTACTGCACAGAAGGTTCTGCTGTGGTATTCTGGAACACAAACTAGAAAATTGAAAATAATGTTCTCAGAAAAGCCAAATAATCCTGGGATTAGTAGTAGACATCCCACATTGCAGCATTACAGTAATTCTTCTGTCCTGCTTGGCACCAGCAGAGTTTCAGGTCTAGACACTTCAGTTATGAATTCCAAGCACTTTTAATGTAATCCCTTTATAAAAATGAGGGTTAATGAAAAAAGCCCAAAATGTTTCAGGTTTTATTTACTAATTGTAAGGAAAGTCAATAATTGTTAAGCTCAAAGGTTCAGCTCAGGTTTCTAAAACAAAAATTGACACGTGTAGGAATACTTTGGTTTTTTCACTTTATTCATGTATGTCAGGAAAATTTCAAGCAATCATACCGATTACAGTGCTAAAGATATTTAAAAAAAAACTTTCTTATGTCATAATTTCAGCATTTATAGTGTTTGAGGTTTCATTCCAACAGAGTTAAGTCTTCCATTTGCTTTTATAAATATACCACATACCTAGAGATAAGTTCTTTAAGAGTGCTGAAATGCTGTGAAGTTAAATATGTAATTTCAGCTGAGCAATAAATTCCACTGTATTTTATTACTCTGTTCATGTTAGCATAAAATAGTCATCTGTGACCAACCAGTTAATAATGGATGACATTGCTGTCATCCATCCAACAGAAGCAGAATTTTGAATCGAATAGATAGTGCTTTTAAAGTGGCATCTTACTCTTTCTTTCTAAATACAAGGAGCACCGACATTTCCCAAAGAAATCACCAAGTTGCATTTGATTTCAGGAGCTCGAAAGACTGCTCTGTAAATGAGCAACACAAATACACTCACCTGTTCCATCATCTACATTCTCTACTTCCATCACTTCTGTGTTTATTCTGCCCCGAAACAGGTAACGGTGGCCATCTGTAGATGTTTTGCTGTTCTTCAATCGCCTGATTAAAGAAAGAGCAGATGTGAGCACGTCATCCACCACCACCTTCTACATTTCTGCACTGCTACCTGAACATGTGGCACTTAAAGACCATGGTAAGAATCATGGTACATTTATACACACGCAATTGAACTGTGGAAACCAGTGCTGAACAGGACACTGCTGTTGATAATGCAAAGGTGCTACTGCTGATAAGATGAAGCTCCCAAATGCTGGCTGAATGAGAGGTGATCAGGAAAGCATCACTCTGTAAAAGCTCTGTTCCAACACTTTGGCTTCTATATGTCAATGTCTGCTATCAAAGACAAAATAATGCATTGGTAGAACCTTTCCTCCTGACTGATGTAGTCTTCTCATGCTAGTCTAGAAATTCAGCACAAGGATAGTTTGAGAAAAATGAAATAAGAACATCTTTGGTTATAAATCTTGACCTACATATGTTAGCCTTCTAAGTGGGACTTAGGCATGGAAGAATGAAGACAACATTCTTCCTATCTAACGTAAGGATTAACCAAGAATTGTAATTAAGCATTGCTGAAATTTTGTGGCAGTTTCACTGCCATATATTCCAAAGCACTTTGCATTGCTGTAACTCTGTTCCCAGTGAAGTCAAGGCATTTAGAGAACCCCAGTCCTAGACAGCTTTTCCCACCTCAAATTAGCCAGGGATTATGTTCTGTCCCTTTTTTCCAATAACGATAATTAATACTGTATATCAACCAAAGGTCAGCTACTAAGAATTAATGATCACCTGAATTTTAACCTTCACTCACTCTAAAGAGGAATTAATCTTCATCTGCTTCTCAGTCTTTACTTCACTACTGTCTAATGAATGACTTTACCACACTATAAATGTCTTATTTAAAAACTGAACAATAGATTAAAAACAACAAACAAACCAAAAAAAGCAAAACCAGCAGCAAACATAAAGGTTCAGTATTATACAGTTTTTCTCTCCAAAGTCAGGTAAATCCAATAGTTTTAGTGACCTTTATAACTGTGACCCCAAATATAGAAATCCACATTTATACAACTCTGCTGCACAAGGATGCTTAAAAATGACATAAAATATTTCATACCATAAAGATGGGACAATTTTTGTAAAATTATCAAAGTGCAAAACTCCTATGAGCAACACTCTCTTTAACTACTTGCCAAGCAATATTCAAAGTATCTTGCTGGCATATAATCATCCCATTTCCCACCTTAAATTCTGAAATTATGTTCTAAACTGAGTTATTCTTATGTCTGCAGACACGTCACTATGGTACCAGCCAATGACACATCAGACATGATTGCTCAAGACTGAAGAAACCATAGATGACCTTTTATGGTTTTGAGATTTTCATCCAAAAGTGCATTTTAGCTAGAATATGGCTACAAAAATATGCAATTGAATGGAGGAAAATTGAAAAGATAATATATACTCGGTAATTGCTGGACAATAAAATACAGCAAAAATCATAAATTCAGAAAAGAGTATGTATCCGTGTATCCAGGAATCTATCGAAGATTTACCCAGTAATACGTATTTATCAAAACGAGTTTCTGGATCAAAGAGACAAATTTGAGCATCAAGAGGGATGTCTGCTTGTAGGAGAACCCTTACTTCTAAGAAGAATTAGAGAACTGAACATTACCTGCATAAGCTTTTTGCTCAACTGAGGAACTGCTCCTTGACACGCAGCAAGCAGCAGCTTTCTGGCTCTTTTTCCTGATTACAAATACACAGCCTGAAACTCTTGAGTCTGTAGAGACTTATTTTATTGCACAAGCTACATTACTGGTTTGTTTAAACTAAAAATTCAGCCTGTTTACCCTTCCTAGAAGAGAGTGAGGCCATCCCATATAACCCGCTGTGGAAGGCAGACAAAACAGATTGTTTCTCCCTGACCTTCACCATTAGGATTTTGCATCCATAAAAAAATGTTTCTAATGCTTGAATCAAATACACTTTGGTGGATAAATCTCCTCTAAAACTACTACCTTTTATACTGTAGTTCTAATGGAACAGTATACATGTGATTAGCTCTACTGTGACAAATATACATTATTTTTGAAAGCAATCATTTACCTGTGCTTTTTTTTGCAGTAGACCAAGAGGTTATCAAAAAGAAAAAATATCCTCTCTTGGATATTTCCTGCTGAAATTTTCAGTAGTAGTCCACTTCGCAGCATTTCTGTGCATGTGTCTGTAATGTTAGACCCCTAAAATCAATTGGAAAGACATTTTTTTAATTATTCTGCGAGAACTGAAGTACTCTGCTTTGCATTAATTAAGGAAAATTTTCTTATACAAACTCACAACCAGAACAAACCTCTGGAAACTCTAAGAATAAAACTCATGGCAATTTATTGCATTGTAATTACATGGTAATTTCTAATGATGCTTAACAACAGCTTTGTATTCATGTAATAGTGGGGAGGGGAGGGGTGGCTTTTTTGAATAGATACAGTTTAATCACCAAAAGTTTCCAAATTATATTACTTCTGTGCAGAGACATCTCCTGAAAATCAGACCAACTTTATCCAGTAACTCTTAACCTCAGTAACTTGACTCAGAAATATCTTACAAGACACCATCTCTGCCACAAGGAACTTGGAAGCTGAAGCAACCTGAGACTTGAAGATCATTAAGGGTATATACTTCTACAGTAGACTAAGCTAAACACAAAATCAAAAATACAGCAAGATATAAAAATTGGGCAAGGCTAATAGTGGCATGTACAGCTAGGACTGCCAACTATATTTCCTCCTAACATACTCTGAAGACATCAGAATTTTGCTAAACTTTACATGTTTCACATGAAACTTCCCATGCCTCATTTTCTGCCTCAGGAGAGAAAAGTCTTTCATGTGAAAAGAAGTCAGGCGTTTTCATAAAAGTTAATCAAAAAGGAGGAACTTTTAACAAAGGAAAACATTTCCCCAATATATTTATATGAAAAATTCATGACACTTTCATGTCTTATAATGAGAAATCTGTCTCTCCGGAAGGCTACCTTGACTTCAGAGGTGTGTTTTGCTAGTCTGAAAAATCCATGCTCCTCTGGGACAGAGCTGCTGTCCATGTGCTATATGCATCCAGACATGCAATCCTATCGATAATTATGCATCAAGCATATAACCATGGTTTGAAGAGTTTCCTGACTTTGAAGCAGTCAACAGTCAGCTTGGAAAACCTGCAAAAGCCAGGACTTCCCTGTCAGCTACACATGTTCTGAATGCTCCATGCATGCAATAGCTGTAGTTACTTCCTCTTCTTGATCTAACCACAGTAGTCCAAAAAAAAAAATGGATTTAATTAAGAGCCAAGAAGGAATCAAGCATTCTGCTCTCACAGTTCTTCATCTTAGTGCTTATCCTTTGTATGTCACAGCTGTGAGTATTGAGCAATCCCTCAGACTGTTCTAAGGAGAATGCAGTCTGTTTACAGAGCTGATAAGTGGGATTGTGCAACCACCACACTGGAAAACAATTCAGGACTCTAAGTAAGGCACCTTCAGTATTAACCAAGCGCTCCTGTTTCCATTTAGGATCAAACAAACCAAAAATTAATGCCATCTATAGCTACTGCAGCATATTTCCCTTCCTAAGACAGCATCAGTACCAGAAACTGGCATACTAATTTTACAGTTTTATTTGAAACCAAATACTGAAACATCTTAAAAGCACACTCAGTAATATAAATTAAGCATAAATTATGGTTGCACATAATGCTCACTGAACACAATTACAGAAAAGCAAGTAATTTTTTTTACATTCTATTTCATCACACTTGCATATTAAAAAGAGTAAGCAATATCTTAGTCTGAGTTTCAAATTTGCTGGAATAGTACTTACTAATAATTTGCATCTTAAAAGGCTGGATACTTTTTAAGGAGTTTTAGTTTGTTTTGGGAGAAAACTTAAGCTTTACTGAAAAATGGTATTGTTTTGTAAGGAAGCCAAAAAAAATCAGCTTAAGGCTTCAAAATTGTACTAGCAGTTTCAGCTTTCTACAAAAGGGTGTTTTTTTCACAGAAAGGGTTTTATAAAAACATTTTGTCTCTTCTTATTGAAAAAAATTTCATTTTCAGTGTAGAAAAATACCACCTTTTCCCAACAGTCCTAGCAATATCTGCTACTGTGCCAGCAATAGGTCATAAAATAACACATTTATATGTATATTAAATATATATAATTCAGGCTACCTGACTTATTAAGGTTCTCCTCATTTATGATTCAAGTTCAATGTTATAATATAGCAGCGTTATCTGTATCACATTACTCCCCTTTCCTTTTGTTTTCCTCTTAATTTTCTTCCTTTTGTAATATAAACTGCTAGACGAAGAAAACAACATTCTAGGGATACTTTTTTCCCTTGGAGATCTCCCGTTCAAATACTGAGCAGTGTTAACATCACTTATCGGATACTTTCTGACAGGATCACAACCCAGGCTGGTGTGGCCGCAGATCAGTGAATTTTGTTATTGGCGTTTTATTTGCTAAAGTCCAAAGGAATAAGGTAACAGGATCAGAAGTCACATCTGGCTATCCTACATAACACTGCTAGTGCAGAAAAATCCCCTGTCACTCCCTTGTCTTAGTAATGCTTAGGGTTTGCCTGTTTCTGGACTTTCAGTGGGCATGGAGATGAAATGGAGAGAAAAGGAAGGGCGTATTACGTGAAAGCATTGCTGTTTCTACACCTGGGGTGAACATTCCTCTCCACCACATCCCTTGGAGATGAAAAACACGCCTGAAGAAGAATGAAGCAGGGAGCACACACAAGCACTGCCATATCCACCATGTAATTCAAAGGAGGACTGACAACCACAGCAAGTTTCCATGAAGGATGTAGCTACTCCTTAAACCTTCACATGGGTTGTCAGCAGGAACACCAATCTACATTTGATATCCACCCCAGCAGGATAATTCACTTAATCCAACTCCGAGCTGTTCCTCTCAGGGGAAGGCTGAAGGCTGCAGTACCAGATGAGAGATAATCCTTGAGCCAGAATCAGGTGAGTCTATCTGCTGCACTGCTAAAACTAAACTACACTATCTACAAGCAAAACTTTTGGAATAAATATTACCAAAACCTTCTAACTCAGCTATGTTTTCATTAAGTGTCTGAATTGAAACTACCAGGGAAATTTTAAATACGAGCAATTTGAACCTGAAAAGTAATTCGCTATGTCAAAGTTTTCACAGACATTTATACCCATTGCTTGTAAGTGAAGATGATACCATTGCTCAGCCTAAATATAAAATCTTCATTACTATGCTATTCATGTTTCTATACATTTAAAATATCTGCAATTAGAGCTGATGGGATATTTTCAGTGAAACCAGCATTTTTGTAATATGTTGATTTGAAAACACCATGTATTATAGAAACAAAACTTACAAAGGATTCAGTTGGGGAAAAAATGACCTAAAAGCAGGTTTATATTGTGAATCTAGACTAGGTTTTCTTCTATCTATCCTAATGGGTCACTGAAGACTGTAAAGCAATCCTCTCCTGTGGGTAGCACTGGGGTCAGTGACTCTTGTGGCTTTTCAGAATACCTGGTGCGGAAATTGAAAATCTGTAAGATCTTGAAGCCTGCAGGTTATTTAAGTATAAATATATAATATTAAGGTATATATATACGGCCTCTAATCACCTTTGGTTCTGAGACAGACACCTTTCATTCCAACTAAAAGAAACAGCTTAGGTGAGAGGTCTGAAATGTGGACTATCATGACCAAATTGAAAAATAAATACATTTAAAATACATTGGAAGGAGAGAGACCATTTTCAAGAAATTTAAAACAATGCCTCCCCCTTCCTTAAACCATTAAGAATCCATCTTTAACATTAAAAAATTATCTTTATTACCTTGAGATTAAAAGCAGCATTGGTTGGTGTTATTTGTTACAAAAAGCTATTCATCTATATATTCTGGGCAAATTTCAGACATATAGAGGTTTGACCATACTGATTCAGTGGCCAGTTAACAGTGGTAAGGGTCAGAAATTACAGACAGATACTAACTTACTCTTCAGTACTTGCACATGGGAAAGTAAGAAAAAAATAAAACTGATAAAAGGGCTTGAAATTGTGGAGTTCAAAAATAGAAATCTCTAGTAAAATACTACTGATGATATGTTGAAATGGAAAGGAACAGAATACCCCATGCTACTTTCATTAAGTTGGCCTGTGACTCAGACTGGGTTGTTCAGCTTCCAACTTACAACAAATGCAACAATTTTATTTTTTGTTCTCTCACTGAAACATCCACACAAATTTTACTGACAGACTCCTTCAGCTGCTGAGCCATTCTCCAGCTGAGACAGCCACCTACACAAGTTCTGAATTCAGGCCAATAAATCTAACCACTTAGGAAATTAAGTGAGAAAGTCATTATACTCAAAATTTTCTTTCTTGAAACAGATGTTCCATCTTTTCCATGAATTTGTATTTTTATCATAATAAACACAAGCTTCATTTTATGACACTTAAGTATAGGAATTCAAGTCATGCTTTGATCAAATTCTAAAAATAGTCTTTATTTTTTTCCCTTTCCTTCTAGATGGGGCCAAGCAATGTGCTAAGCATTTCCTTCTGGAAGGAAATCTCCAACAAGTTTGCCTCTTTATTTTAAGCTACGCAGAAAACCAGATGTTTATTTAATTAAATCCACTCTCAAACATTGCATTCAGGGATTTTTTTTTTTTTTTTTTTTGTAGTTGTTGTTGGGAATCATTCAAAATACTGTTTGCTCTTATACATGCTCTGAAATTCTTACCATTTCAAGGACTAACCTTATGCTGTGTCTGAAAAGGATGCACATATTAAGATCAAGGCAGTTTGGCCAGATTGCACACCCTGTGGTTGCCATATGGTAACGGCAAACCTGATCAGCTAAAATACAATAAACACCATAAAACTCTAACAAAAACACCCTTTTAAGACAATAGCACTATTTCAGAGTTCAAGCAGAAGTGAAATCTTAAAATGAAATCTTGGAGGAGGGGGGGAGAGGGAAAAAAAAAAAGAAAGGAAAGAAAAAAAAAAGATGTTGGTATGAAATTACTATGTTACAGTTCAGAGAATACATTCTGAGCACAGAGACAGTAACTCTTTGTTTCACATGCTAATGTCCATATTTTTACCCTTTCTTCTTTATTGTTAACTTTGCTCATTAACATATTTCCAAAAAGAAAAACCTACTACTTACTGCTATATTTTTGACCAAGGATTCAGAAGAAACTTAATGTAGAAAAGCGGATTCCCTTTTCAGTGACAGAGGTTTGAGAACAGTAAGTTCTCAGCCAATTTATATGAGTAATAATGCACCGAGTTAATAATACTTTATACTTGAGTGTATTCACTAAATGGATTTGACAGCTATCTATGACTCAGGCACTGGAAGCAAGTAGAAGAATTTTAGCTACTATAGTGCAGTAGAAAACTCAATTGAAAATTTGAAAATAATCAAAGGAGGAAAGCAGTGATAGGCAATAAGGATTATTTAATAAATTTTGTTGCCCTAAAATATTCAGCAATATAAGCATTTAACTTGCTATTGCTTATATCATGAAGTTATCACACAAACACATCCAATGCATTTTAATGTTCAGATACCCTAACCTTTCCAAGTGACTGCTGGTGACAGCAAGTTCAAGCTAACTACAAGAAGAGACTTATTTTCACCTAATCAAGCAGCTGTTACGTGAGGTCAACTAGAGCTCCTTTCAATCACAACATTTAGAGGTTTACTTAATCTTAGTCCTTTCTTTTTCAAAATCCTACAAACCATACCATGGCATGACTACACACTGTCATTTGTCTTGAATTTTTTTAATTCTATTTTATTTCAGACTGAGGATTAAAAATAAATGCAGAAAGGTTTGTCTGAATACTGAGTAGCAATTATATAGCTTTTGTACTTGCTAAAATTCCTTCTCACGAGGCACAGTGTATTTTAGTGGAATTTCATAATGATCATCCTGTACCAAAAGATTACAGTGCCCTGAAATCCAGCATGAGATGATTTACCAGAAATGTAGTTCTTGAAAATGCTTGTACACAAAATAAGGAAAAAACCCTTAAGTGAAACATTTCAAATCTCACGAAGCACTGAAGAAACACGAATTTTGACTAAAGTAAAATCAGTCTCTTAATCCACATTTAGAATGAACCAAATCTTCCCACACTACTCAACTAACAACAAACCAAAGGTTTGCCTGAGTCCACTATCAGGAGATTTCACATGAAGCAGACAGGAAATAATTTTGCAGTGCCATGAGCAATATTTAGGAGGTCTTTGTTCAGGTCTATACTCCCTTCAGATAGTGGCTTGTTCTGCTGAATCCTCCTGGATGATAGCAATTAAATCCACTGCTGCAGAAGCAGAGCACATCCTTAGGCCAGCAAGTCCGAGAAACAGGAGGTATAGTAAGTAGGAGGTGTAGAGAACGAACTAAGCTGTGTAGAAACTATTTCTTGTTTCTGCTTTTTTACCTGTTACTATGAATATCTACTTAAAAGTTGACTCTTCTAGTCAATATTCTAATTTTTATTTTTCAGACTTCTTGGGGAACTCCAGCAGTTAATGTCCATCTAGGTCCACCTCAAGGCTTCCTCTGATTCCATGTCCCATCAGTGTCCTTAACCTTTTCTTTTCTCTGCTCTATACAAAGGCCATTTCCCACTGTATAGACTGAGACCCAGTCTTTCAGCAACCAGACTAACATGCAACAAATACATTTTTCTTATTATATATCCTAGCCTGCAAACCTCCCACAAAACTTAAAGAGATAAAAAACTCTAATTCTTAAGCAGTTTTCTTAGGAAGAAAAGTAGCATATTCGAGCAAAGTATTCAGAAAAGCAAAAAACAACTTCCATGTTGAAATCTGTTGCTTTAAGAAAACCTGTGTATCATTTTTTTTTTAAAAGTCAGTTTTGAATGTTTACTGTATGGGGTTTTTTTAAGGAATTTCACTTGTGTTTCCCTCCTACACCAGTGCAGACAGCTCAGACACTTCAGTACAAAACACGTAAGACAATTTGAAGATACATTCTCAGAATAATAGAAAAGGAAGATTTTGGTGCTACAACTACTTGATCTTGTTGTTTTCTTTGGGAAAGGTTGAATCTCTGTTTACTACTGAAAATTCTAACTCAGAAACAGACTTACTTTGCAAAGACCTTACTTCACAAAAGTTTACTGGAGTATTAATGCTCTTTCATTTGCAAACTCTTGATAAAAAACGTAAGTCTTACACACATTCTACTGAACATGTTTACATTACTTTAGCTCACTCAATAGTAAGGGACTACCTACAACCTGACAAAAACTTATGGACCATCAATAATTAATCAAAATTTTTTTCAACCAAAGTGCTGCTAGACAGGTATAGATAATAATAATAAATAATGGCCAGTCTTCGCGAGCGAAGATCCGGGGAAGGTCTTTACACCTTCCAGCCTGCGCATTGGATTTTTTAGGTGAGACACAGTGTGCGCAGAACTGAGCCCACCCTTTAATCCTAAGGTTCATCTGCCAGGGCCAAGCGAGCTTGGACGGTGGCAGCGAGGTCCTTAGGACGTAGGTGGGTTGCCTTTAAGGGCTAACGAGCCCCACCTGCCCGGGAGTGGCCCTGACCGGGAATCGAACCCGGGTCTCCGCGGTGATAGCGCGGTGCCTTTACCACTAGACCACCAGGGCCTGGACAGGTATAGACAGCAGTAAAATCAGATCAGCAGTTCAATTAGGATTTATAGATGTGTATGTAAGCAGTTCAATTAGGATTTATAGATGTGTATGTACACATACATGTTCACATAGACAATTGATACTCCAAGGCAAACACTAAATAATAATTAACCTCCTTCCTGGAAGTCTGTTATTTTATACAGCAGTGCTCAGTCATGGACAACACTTCATTTACAGAGCAGACCTCAAATAAGAACTGTGATTTCAAAGAACTGAGGAGTTGATAGTACCTCAGGATCGCAAAAACAGTGCAATACATACTTGTTGAAGACTGTTACTCCCTCCTCAACATACAAAGCAATAAACATCATGACAGTACCTCCCATCCTTCAACATGAGACTGCCATTCTTCCAAAAACTCTAATTTTTCCATTTGTCTTTTGGCTTCGTTTATGTTGGAACAGACAGCCTTCATTGCCTGGAGGGCTTCCATTAGGGCCGCATAGTCACTGTGCTTCCTTGGAGTCCGCTTCAGTAATTCCTATTGAGACATTAAAAAAACAAACAAAACAAAACAAAACAAAACAAAGAAAGAAAGAAAGAAAAAAGAAACCTGTCTTTGATCTCTAAATGTACATTACAGGAGACTTAAATCAACCAGCATACAAAATCAAAAAGTAGCCATGCTCCTCTTTTACTAGGTGGAAAAATAGTAAACCCTCCAGCATTGTGTGTACTAAAAGGGTAATTAATTACTAAGAATAAATAATCATCATGACCAAGGAAGAAGTTTGCATTTCAGCTACTTTCTTCCCCAGCAATGTTTTTTCATTTGAGCTTTGCATTTTAGGCGGGGTTATTGTTAGCTTGTTTTCGTATTCCCCAGGATGGAACTGTTCAACAGCAAGGATAACAGTTCTGCTTAAAAAACATTAGTTTACTCATGCAAAATTAACACCTGCCTTTCCCGCAACTCAGGGCAAAAAACCCCATTCCTTTAGCTCCAAACTATTGTTTAATCTAGTGCAATATACAATACAACAAAGTACAGAACAACAGCTTAGGTGACTCACTGATTTCAGATGGTTACTTGTACTGGCAGCCATACTGATAAACAAAAGCAGAGTTGCCAGCATTCGAGATTTCCCGTCTCAAGCTATCAAGTACCCATATACAGCTGGACTGACTCAGGACAGCCTTCAGCGCATACCCTGACTGACGTGTGGGTAACAATCCTCTGGAGCCCTAACCCTGCGGCCACCACACCCTGTATTTAAATTTATTTAACATAAATATATTCATTTCATTGCCTCATAGAATAATTCATTAGTCATTTTCCCCTGTTTTGTCTGTAGAGCCTTCATTCAAAAAACAGAAGAGAAAAAATAATTTTAAAATAGACCAAGGGAACTATAAAGTCAGAGACATCTGGGATGACTCACACCTCATTGTAACTATTATATTCTTTAACTTATTTTTAAAACCTTTATTTTAACATGGTTGTTTTTAGACTTTTTTATGTCCTACGTCTTCAAAACTGGTAATCTTTCATATCTAAACTCACACATGCACTGTGAAAAATACTATCCAATAATCATGTCTCCAGTAGCTTCTAGAGCAGAATCTGCTCTGGTTTTCCTCTCATAGTTTGGAACAATAAAGCATATTAGACCTTAATTTGTTAAGTAAAAATTTGTTTTGAATATTACTTTCCTGTATTATTTCTGTTCAACCACGGAGAGGCCACCTTACAACTAGATGCAGAATGGAGCTAATCATTTTGATCCAGCCAAACTCCTCAGTTCTTTCATTACTGCTGTCAGAAGACTTGCCACTAGCTTTAATGACAGTCTGGGCCCAATATCTTAATGAAGAGATAGATCACTGTGTAAAGAGATTTTTCCTGGAGTTCGGAAACATGCTTAGCAACCAGTTTTATACAGGAAGTATAAAGTCCTAAATAAAAAACTTGTAAGTACCTTCAAAAGAAGGGGATACTTGCATATTCTCTGTATCGGAGTTACGAGATATCCTTCCAATGGTACGTCTGTGTTCTTGCGTCCTCCAAGGAGCATGCAGTTCTGGAGCGGGAACAGTTTCACAAATGTTTGAAAAAATCCCAAAAACGTTATAAGAAATAAAGACAAGGGCACACGTATACAGCAATACTGACTAAACTATACATAAATTATATACTTATGCATAAGGAGGGAGATTTGCAGGACTGTCAAAAGTACAGGCTTGAACACATGCATAGGTGGGTACACTGACTATCATACACGACAAGGAAGTCACAACATTATGCAGACATCTCTCTAGGTACCTTCTTCATCCAGTCTGATGAAGAGAGAGTGCTTTTTTTTTGAACTTTAAAAGACAGTAAATAAAATGCTCAAAATATGCTTTTAACCTTCAACAAGCAAAAATAAAAATAATTCAGGGTGACCACTATAGGTGGTGTTGTTTCTAAAAAGTGTTTGCAATGTTGACTAGCATAAAAGGTGGTTTGAAGGTTTAAACGTGGTCATCCCAATATACAGCTCTAAAATGTGATATGCAATGAATAAATTATCCTTAAGTCATGGGCAAAAGACTATTAAAGTTTCAACAAGACGTCTGATTATGGAAGCAGAGAGTAAATGAAATATTGGGTAGAAGCATCCATGAAAGAGCAGCTGAGAGACAGAAAAGAATAAGGGCTTTTTGGGATAAGAAAACATGCAAGGGACATCACAGTAAATATTTGGAATTGCTGGAATTAAATTGTAAGTACATAAAGACCTAGAGTAATAATGACAATTACTTTATGGAGAGATCAGAAGGAATTGTGATGCAATGCTATGAGATAATCTACAGCTTCAAAGAGCAAGTTGTCTAAACTGAGGACACTAAACAACAGTAGTTTAAGACAGCCAGACGGTATGCTGATACAGGCCACAAATCCAGATGCAGAATCATTGTTGATGGAATAGAGGCTACAGAACTGGGTGGCTGCCCTACTCAGCACATAACACACATACCCTATCCCCAGAGCTGCCATGGGGGTCTCCACACCCACTCTTAAGTCTCTGCTTTATGCTCACGGTTAACCAGCTTTTGTCTTAGCCTAAAGGATTCCTTATCCTAAAGGGTCTTGCTTAACCTGTCAGTGCAAAAGCTCTACTGATAAAGATAATGGCAATGCAGACTACAGGTTTATAGAATGTCACTATATTCAAAGGCACAAAATTATTTACAGATACCCACATATCTAATGACCTGACTGTTCTGTCTGGCTAGAAGGTTTTAACCCTATTTTCAAACTGTAGAGTCAGATATCTTGTTTTCTAGGTTAGACTGCTGCCACTTAATCTTACAGACATGTCCCAAATCTATGAGGAACCCAAAACAGATGTGGAAGCCCTTTGCATGTGCCCCCAAGTACACGACACTGACTGCCCTAAGTGCACACTGATCTTCCTCTCTCACAAAACAAGGTCTTTACAGTATTTCTCCACAAATGGAGAAAACACATGTCTCTGTAGTCAGCATTTACCCTTTCTTCTTGAGTCTGGCCATGCTGCTCCCAGTACAAGAACCATGTGTATGAAGCCCCTCAGTCTGGGGCAAGGTGAAGGGTATTGCGTCAACCACTGACGAAAAAAAAAAGGGCAACTTTGAAGCTCCTTTTAACTATGAATGGAACATGGCTGAATTGGAGATTCTCAGTAAAATGGGATATGGTACTTCATGTCACCCAGTACTCCCCACAATAAGGATATTCACGCACTGCTCATTAACTTGGCTGTAAGTGCAGCTATGGAGTCAGAGCTGACATTTTTCAAAAAATTAGGGAGCTGCAACAGGACAACTTCACCACGAACTTTGTCAACAGCTGCAGTGAAACCCTACTACATGTTAAAAATAATTATTAAAATTAAATAAAACTTATGATACTGTTAGCATTGGCAGAATCTTTTAAAACATATCTGTGATGCTCTGCTGATAAAGCCATTTGATCTCCATTCTCAAATAATAAACAAATCTGATCCCTCCGAAATTTGATAGCATATCCATGGGCACCTTCTCAGGTATTTAAGTCCCAATATAGTAAGCTCCACATTTTAAAGCTAATCTTGTTCCCACAGGACACCCCGGAAGAAACACAAAAATCATTGCACACTGAATCTGTCTTTTAACAACTAATGTCAACTATTAACAAACAAAGCATTTACATGGAAATTGGTTTTGCTGTTGAAAATCCATGAGGACTGTCATACTTAACATTTAAAAACTTCTCCTTATTTGTCTTATAAAGTGAAAGACTAACTGTGTGGTCATATCTCTCAACTTCAGATTAAGTTAGTGCCTAAGATCAGGATGGTTACTCTATGATCCATAATAAAACATTTCCCTGTCTACAGCAGAACGTAGATCTTCTCTTCACAAGTTCTGATGAGCCCTTCAGCTTCCTTTCTGTAACTCCTTTCCCTATCCCTCCTCACATATCTTCTATTCTTTTTCCTTTCTACAGATTCACACCCTTGTCTCCTGACCAGCATGCTCAAGGCACGTTGCCTAATGCTGTATTACCCACACATCCAAGCGCAGTAGTGAAAATATGATGTACACACGCCCTTCTGGAAACATTACCCACAACTAAAACTATCTGCTAACCACTTGCAGGTGTGCCTGTACTTGTAGCATGGTGGAGGTGACACTGCTAACGATTCACTGCCCACCCAAAACATATAAGGCTAGAATACCAATTCCAAGTTTATTTACCAAAAGAAAAGTCCGCACTGTTCTTATTTTGTTCAGGTCAAGCAGAACTTTCTGTGCCTTCTCGTGGTTACTACAGTATTCATCATAGATACGGAATTTCTCTTTCTGCAGAAACAAAAAAAGACATGGTTTTTCACTTGTCACTTTGATAATTTTTTTTTTAATTAATAAAACATGGCACAAACACTTTTCAGTGTTGAATAGCGAATATAGTCTTCACTCTAGAAGGTCAGCTCTTCTTCCTACATTCATTATTTGAGGTCTAGTCTCAAATTAGAATTATGAACAGTCTGGAAGCACTATTTGGTTATTTCAGTCATAGATTCATAGAATACCAGGTTGAAATAGACCTCAAGGATCATCTGGTCCAACCTTTCTTGGCAAAATCACAGTCTAGACAAGATGTCCCAGCACCCTGTCCAGCTGAATCTTAAAAGTGTCCAGTGTTGGGAAATGCACCACTTCCCTGGGAAGATTATTCCAATGGCAAATTCTTCTCATTGTGAAAAGTTTTCCTCCTATGTCCAACTGGAATTTCCCCAGGAGTAAATTGTACCCATTATCCCCCCTACTATCCATGTGACTCTGTAAAAAGAGAGTCTCCATTTTCACAGCCACTTTTTAAATACTGGAACATAGTGATAAAGTCTCCCCAAAGCCTTTATTTTCTCATGTCTGAACAACCCAGTTCTCTCAGACAGACATATGGCAGACTTCCCAGTCCTCTGATCATATTTGTGGCCCGTCTCTTGACCCTCTCCAGACTGTCCACATCTCTTTTGTATAGCCAGGACCAAAACTGAACAGAGTATTCCAGGTGTGGCCTGACAAGCACTGAGAAGAGTATGATAATGACTTCTTTATCTCTGCTGGTGATGCAACCAATCATCCTGTATATCCCAGCCTGTGTGGTACTCCTGGATTATGTTTTCCTAAGTGCAAGACTTTGAATTTCATATGGTTTTGCTGAAAAATTTCAGAGGCTAGACTACCACAAACACACAGGATAAAACACACGTGAAGAAAATGCACAGTGAGTGGCTAATTTGCTGACATTATTACCCAATTTCTCTGCAAACATTTGTTTTCAAATATGATCCATTCTTCTGCCGAGCTAAAAACTGATGTTACTCAACTTCTGTAAAATGTTTCCACAAAACATTAACAGTTTTCTCCTCCCAAAATGAATAATCAAAAACTTAACAAACAAATGGGATTATAACCAGAGATAACAATGAAACCTAGACTTTTTGCTAGGACTACAACTGAAAGAAAACTAATTTGTCCTGATTTTTCAAAGGTCTGTAACACTAACATCCTTGTTTTGCTCAAATAGGAAAAATCATACTCCTAGAAACCAATTACTACAGGGCCTACATAATTGTGGAGGTACTGCAGATGTCAGAAGCAAAAGAACTTCATAATCCAGAACCATGGAGGTTATTTTACCCAGTGTCGTGGTTTTGCCCAGCAGCCCATCCCTGGGGCTGAGGATGGTTTTGTCCAGGTGATTTCCGGACAAAAAACCAATCAAAAAGTTCAGTTACGCCTTTGCTAATTACATCTTTAAGAAAACGGAAGAGAAGGTTGTGGCGCAGTTGAAATTAGGGGCAGCAACCATGTAGAAGGGTAGCGGGCCCGAGGAGGGCCAAGGCCCCCTCCTCCCCGGCTTGGGCCGGGGGGGGGGCAGGTGTAGTACTGAAGCCTCCCTTCTCTCTTGTGAGAGAGTGAAGAAAAAAAAAGGTTTAAAAGACGAACTACTGAGATGAGAAACCGCTGTAGAAGAATTCCAGCCATGAGATAAGAGAACTTCCAAGGTCAAAGCTGCAGTCGCAGGAGAGAGAAGAAAAGTTCGAAGGGGGGAGAGCTGCTGTTTTTCTCCTTTTCGCTCTCCCTCCCTTCAACAGGATAAAGACTGAAAAATAAAACCCTGCCACCTGTAGAAGTTTGTTGGGGTGAAGAAACCCCGTACGGCTCACAGAAGAACTTGTGGATGCACCAGAGATTTGTGACTTTAACAGAAAAAGAAAGCCTTATGCTGAAGTAAAAGCGGCTCAGATGAGGCAGAGTCCTGTTAAAGACTTTGTGACTCTCGAAAAGGACGATGCTTATGCTAGAGCGAGACGACTCAGATAAGCTTGGGATCTCAGTGAGAGATCCATGCTGCTAGTGCTGGAAATTTGTGACCCTGAGAGAACCTACGCTGGAACACAAAACGGTTCAGGTAGGGATGTTGGGATCCATGTGTGGGATCCATGCTGCTGGTGCTAGAAATTTGTAACCCTGAGAGAACCTACGCTGGAACAGAAAATGGCTCAAGTGGGATATTGGGATCCGAGTAAGGGATCCAGACTAGACTCATACCGAGAAGTCAATCAAGGACTGTTCTCCCATGGGGAGGGACCTCCATAGGGAAACAGGGGTGAACTCTTAAACCATTATCCCCTGTAACCCTGTGGAAGAAGATCCATAGTAAGCAAGTGTCCCCTTGCAAGTCTATGGAAAGAGACCCTTCAGGACCTGGGTAACCCTCAGCCTTCGGTTTTAACCCAGGAGGGGGGTAGGCCCAGCCCTGGAAACCAACACAGAATAAGAGAAAGATAAAGAAGTTCCAACTGCGACGAAAGTGCTGCAGAGTTACTCGAGAGAAAGAGAGAACTAGAATTCTGAGAACAAAAAAAGACTGCTTCTCCTCCTTGGACTGATATAAAGGGAGGTGGGGGGAGAAGTATCTTTTGTAAATACATAATACCTTTTACTCAAGTAGAATTGTTGTAAATATAATTCTTTAGTTTTAGTTTGTTAATAATAAATACTCATACTTTTTTTAATTCAGTCTCTTTTTATCTGCATAAACCTTCTCTCAACTAATAGTAATTGTATGGGGGTATAAAAATAAATTGAGCCAGGACAAAACCACGACACCCAGCATATGCAATCCTTTGTTAAATATTCACATTTTTTCATAGCATCAAAGGGGAATAAAAAGATAGCACAGTGCTACTTTTACTGATTCATGAAACCCTGATCCTTGTACCTCATCTCACATACAGGCAGAAGTTTTGCCCAAGCTGCAGGGTTCTGTTTGGCAGCCTGGGCTAAGTTGGTGAAAATAAAAATGATGAAACAGCAAAAGTTAGCCAATTTGATATGTTCCTTTTTCATTCTCCTCCCTTTTTTTTTTTTTTTTTTTGATTGGAAATGACAGTAACTAAGAGATAACTTGTGAGTACTCTACATTACACAATCAAGTCATATTTAATCTCCATGACTATGTACACTTATCATCACGACAGCAACTAATAAATACAAAAACTAAAGGAAAAACATTATACAAGGCTGTAATAAAAGATAGCGTACATAATTCAGAAAGCAGGTTCCAACTTCATGCTGTGCATTAGGTTCTGGTTGTAAACACTCCTCCACCAGGGACAGGAAGTTTTTGTGAACTGCAAGAATATCTTCAATATTTGAAAACAACATCTGCAACGGAATAAAACATATGTAAATGAAATATCAGATACAAAACAGAAAAAATATGCATTTAGGATACTAACCTTAACTGTCTCTTCTGTGACATTTTTATCCTCTTTGGCTGCAGCACGTTGGATCATTCGGTGAAGAAAAGCCTGCATGAAACAAGACAAATACGAAAAAAGTTATTTCAGGAAGACTTGAACAACTTCTGGCATGTTATGCTTTAATTTGTTTTCCAAATTTGACATAGAGTGACATTAGAATATTATCTAAAATCTAAACCAAGTATTTTATTTATAAAGCATTTTGTTATTCTGACGTAGTGTTAAAAAGAGTTAAACAGTGAAATATTCATGAAGTTGCGAAACTGAGCACTCTCTGAAGTACCATTCCATCCTGCACTCATATTACAATCAAGGAAGAGCACAATGGATCAATTTTCAAAATCTTACTCTAGCACTTTACAAATTGAGTACATGACAAGCCAAAATACGCTGCTAATTTCCAAGTTAAACTAATCAGGAGATACTATTATGAAATGTAACTTTTACCATAGCAACCTCAAGTCAGATTTCAGATGCATTAATAATCAAACCTATTGTAAAGTAAATTGGCTTAAACAACAGTCAATTGCACCTGGTTTTGCTTAATGAAATCGCTTCCCTCTTCCCTCCCCAGGAAACCAATCCCCGGGGATCAAATGAGAAAATAGTAATACCACCAAGGAAATACCAAAATACTAAGTTTTCTTTTGTTTTACATTCAAGAACTGGACACAAAAAGAGGAAGATATGTACAATAAGTCATTCCAAAAGAAATAAATATCTCAGGTGCAAAGAATAGAATTAATTTTTATTAATTCAATTCATTACAAAGACATGGGTATGTTCTGAAAAATATCTACACACTATAGATATTTAAAATCTTACACTGATAATTCTTCACACAGACACATATTCCTTAGTCATTAAAACCTGGCAGCACAAGTGCACCAATGTCATATCTTTCATAGACATTTCAGTCACTGTTCATTGTACACTGTACATTAGCTCATCTAAATTCTGTCGTGGTGCAAATTCCATAAAATAGACAATAAATAACCCCTGTGTGGAAAGATAGCAGTCACAGCAACCCCTTTTTCTCTCCGCTGGCACTTAAACATTTTTATTCCCAAGCAGCAGATCCTTTCTCTGCTGAAGAGGACTATGTAGCTGGCATCACACATTTTTATTACTGAAGAGTCAAATCTAGTTATCCAGGACATAAACTGAATTAAGTTTGGAATACTGCCAGCATACTGTATGTTTCCTATCACCCTCTACAATGATGTAGATTTTCTAGTTCGTTAAACCCCTCTTTCTTTCTAACGTTTTATTGGTGCTAAAAAAAATGTCATTAACTCATTTGCAGCACTTAACTGTTTGTGGACAACAGCCCTTTATACTGTTCCTTGTTACGAATACCCTCAGGGGCTATGAAAAATCTGCTGTGTGCATCGCCTGCACACTCTACAACCAATCCCACAGAGAGTGAGAGCCTGCATGACTCCCAAGTTACTTTCTGGAAGTTTTCACTAAACCATGCAACCCTACTAAATATGCTTTAAAACTGAAGACGAAAAAAAATTACAAGAGCTACCCCTGAAACTCATGTCTATTTTTACTATCTGTAATTTCTCTCTGTTCACATTATTTCCCCACAGACCAAACATACTGCTCATCTGCACTCATGTCATGTCAGAAGATCCTCATTTCCTGTAGCTGTGAAGGAAGGTGAACATTAAGTTGGCTGAAGGTGAAACTGAGAAGGAACTGAGAGCTGAGGCATTAGTTATTCTCAAGTGATTCAAGACACTAGGCGAGAGTCATGAGGTCATGAAGAGTATAAATCAGCTGCAATAAACAGTTGTCCAAGCAGCACTGTCCCAGACATCACATCCGCAGAGGTTATCAGTAACTAAATCCAGGAAAATCCAAACTCTTGCAGAACCTGGACACAAACCACTAATTAAGGTAGGGATGCCTGGGATAACTTCAGTCCCTTCCAGAAACTTCGTGCAAGCCATGTAATATTTTTCTGTACTCATACTGTAGTGCTTGTGTAGTCATGACGCCAGTTTATCCCCAAGATTAGCCACCCGAATCACAGAATCATTACAGATTCATAGAATAGCCTGGGTTGGAAGGGACCTTTAAGATCATCTTATTCCAACCCCCTGACATGGGCAGGGACACCTTCCACTAGACCAGATTGCTCAGAGCTCCTCTGTTGTCCCTATCAATGCAGATTTGCTTCCTGAAAAAAAATAGTAACACTATGTCCCAAAAATCAATGGATGTGACCACTTGAATCTTTCAGGCACTTACATGAGAGCACTACAAAGCTACACATATTGCAAAATATTTGGAATAATCTCACATTTTCTAGGAAGAGCGCTATAAGAAAATTCAGGGGAATGCATATAGGGATGGAGATGTCTACCTCCATTCATGTGCCACCAAGATCAATCCTTGGTGGACTTCAACTGCTGGAGTGAGTAATGCAAAGCAATGATCCAGGTTTCCAGGATGCAAATCGCCTTACCAATTCCCTCCCTGGAACACGGAGACACCACTGACTTCATGCATGTAACTCCTCTCCACTAGGACTTTGCTAGGGAGAACAGACAGCCTTCATCAGGCAGGAGGATGGAGAAGTAATTGCTTTTTTACAGTGAAAGATAACCTTAATCCAGCACTGCAACTAAGAAAAGACAAAAGTCTCTGAACTTGTATGAACACATGGTAGGTCTGAGAGAGAGGTGACTATTCAAAAAATCTCCAGAATTATTTGAGCATCAACTGAGGAAAACCATGAACAATTCTTCAAAAATTAGTAAACAAAGAAAAAGCAGGTAATTTGTAGATAAAACCGTAAGGAGGATCCTACACAGAAATTACAGAGTTTAAAAGGAAAATAAGGATAGGTAGAAATCTACCCAGGAGCTCTCAGTTCCTCAGTTAATTGGAAAAAAATTATAATAGCTTTTGAAGATATACTACATAAAGTATTAATAATCATAGAAAAAAAACACCTGTAAAAAAAAATAAGTAAAATTGACATCTCAGCCAATTTAAGATTCATTAAAGAACTGGACGCAAAAAAAACAAACCAAACCAAAACAAACCAGCAAGAAGTTAAAAACTGCTCTGAAACAGCACTGAGTTGCTTCTAAAAATTCTACCGTTACTTAAGCATGCTCAGACTCATTACTGAGCATCACATTACATGAAGGAGCAAAGCAATCACAACAGACACACACGGAACAGATCCTGCTCCTCAACTGAGCAAACAACTCTAGAAATCGATTGTCATACATGATTCCCATTCTTAGACCAAAAAAAAGATTCATCTACGTTAGTGTAGATGTTTCATAACACAACATCAAACACAGAGAATAAGATATATCTCTGTGCCCCCCTGCATCCCAGACCATTGTCATCTAGTCCCTCAACTTTCTCAAAGCTTTTCAAGTTAATTCCAGTGTTTACCTTTACTTCCTTTCAATCTTAATTTTCTCAAGTAACAGCAAAGACACGTGGTCAAAACAGAACACAATTTTCCAAATTTTCATCTCGTGCCACCAGCATTCTAGCTACACTGCTGTAGTACAGGCATTCAACCTTGCGGCACTGCAAATGGAGATTCCCTGCTCCTGGCACTCTGCCAGCCAGACCATAGATGATTTCTCTTTTAAGAGATCTCCATGCAACATTTCAGAGCAGCACATTGGCTGGGTGCCATAAATCTTAAAGATCAGGTGAAGAGCAAACATAAAAGAGGATGTTTGTTATTTACATTAAAAAAACACACAAACACCCAGTTTTGTTTGCCAGTTTTTAGAACTGTTTATGGAAAACTCTGTCACTCTAGGAAGATCCTTGAGTCACTCAGAGTGCCACAATCCCTGCCTCCACAAAGTTTGACATTCAAATTACAAACCTAAATTTTCTAGACCATCCTTCTGGAAACTTCATTAACACAAAATAGCATCTGTATGATCAGCACATATCGGCTTTGGAGAAGAAATGCCTCACAATGCTGAGAAAATTCTAAACAGGAAGAGTCACATCTTAAGAAATTTGGTGAACTTTAGAAGTTTGACAATCTTGCAGACCAAAACATGAGGTGCCAACTGAGCCCTCTGGAGTAGGGGAGTACCTACACATTAAATATGTAACAGTTTAATACTGAAGTTTCCTAACTCCACTCAGGTCCTACTGGGGACATAAATGCCTCTATTTCTGGCTATGACTCAGAGTCCCTGTACCACGCTGCTAAGGAGAAGAGTAATTCACCTCTACCTTTGAGAAATGTGGCAAAAAATTACACTGATCATTTGGAGAAGATTCCATGCTAATAATATCAATGAAGATAATTACATCCTTTTTTCATGACTGTGTATTTATTACCCAAAAACTATTGTTACATACTTCCTGTACTACTCCCTGTTCTTTTTACCCTTTACCTGACATTGCAGTAACACAGTACAGGAAACACTGGGAGTGAAAATTAAAACACAAAACACTGAAAATTCAAAGAATTATAAAAGAATCTGGGTTTTATGCCAAATAAACACTAATGTGTTTGCCCGTCTGCTGGTCTGCTGCCATTTTGTGAGGCTGCATTTTTTACAGAGAACACACACTGGGTTCCTGTTATGGGGATTTTGACTTCTGGTCTTATCAAAATAAGAGTAGCATTGTTGGTTGTTTGGTGGGGTTTTTTTCTCCATAGTTGCTCTGTGTGTTGGGGAAAAAAAAAAAAAAAAAAAAAAAAGAAAAAACCTACCACCGCTGCAGATAGCACATGGAGCTGCCAATAGTACAAATGACTTCTCTGACATCTGGAATGAAATCAGGGAAAACAAAGAAGTCTGCCTGCAGAAGACTCCCAGGGCACAAAGAGCTTTTGCCTTCTTGACAGATAAAAAGTTAAGTCCTGAAATTATGTCAGAGCACCTGGATCACAAAACAAATGCAACTAGTCTTCTGAAAGCAATCCTACTTTTTTGAGCCTAGAAATAAATATTGGGTTTTATTTGAGAGAAGAATTTTTAAAAAGTTACTTATTTTTCTCCCTCAGACTTTTAACAGTGTTTCTACCTTTAAAT